CTAGTCCCAGACCTTCCCGCGTGACTGGACCGGTTTTAAACAGCGTGAGAATGCCTAGCGAACTACGTCAACTTGGTCTTAGTCCTAAATTCATGTGAGTATTTCCTTCCATATCGAAATATCTTCATTGTTCATCCCAAAGGCATCAAGTTATACAAAAACATTAATGTAAATATGTAGAACCTAGGGCAATATCGTACCCAGAGCCATCGTGAATGAACCTAGGGCCGCTCGAAGGACAAAAATGGTGCTAAGAAGGGAACACTTTGCGAATTGTGCTGGGCCTTCTAAATTTCGGATTGAGAATGAATTTTATTCTATGAAGCAAGTGAATCTGTAGTGTTCAATTTGCCTCTGGCATTATTACTGTCAAGGAGAAACAGGCCATATTAGGGTAAAGCCCAATATTCAACTCCAAGTGTATCAATATTGCCCTGTTGATTATCTGTAGGGTATTGCTCTGAGCGATAAGATGTCATCACCGCCTTTGATATGGCATTTTCCTAACGAGAATCTTCCCTCAGATCCAGCAATGAGGTACGTCCCCCCCCCCCCTCAGCTCTGTATATACAGCTCAGATTGGCAGGACTACTATACTTTGACGTTTGTTATAAACAGGCCAACAAGGACTTCGTCTTCAAGACCAGTTGCTATACCAACATGGAATTTGCTACCATCAAGTTTGAGAAATGAAACTAGTTTTTCAAAATTGAAGATAGAAGTTCCTAAAGGCCTTTAATGATATTCCAAATTATACTCCTTAGACCTTACCATAATATTTAGATTGTATGTAAATATTTATGATATTGGACATTCCTGATTAAATATTTTCTTCATTCATTCATTTTCTTCCCCGCTACTCGTGCATTGAGAACTGTATGCACATCATTCTACATAGATTTGTGCTCTCCTAAAGTAAACGCCCTTTGGTTACCTTAAGTCAGTTGTATTTTCCAAACCGGATCTTTTCTTTTCGACGTAAAGGTTCAATAAACTGTTCAAAACCCGAGAAAAATGGTCGTTGGAGGATATACAACCTTACTTGGCGTAAGTATCCAAAACATTATTTCCACTGGGTAGCTCTTTCAGTTCTAAACTGTTCTCAAGGATCATCCCTTATTGATCCAGTGTTATGACAGCTCTGAACGATTTCTCTTCGTGGTTCAATAAGAACCATCCCTGGTTTTGTATAGCGACTACCAAAGGAAACTTGTGAGTTGTGGTGTTTGGTAAAATCAAACTGGACGCACTCTTCTGAGGCGAAGTTATAATCAAACAACCGAACCCAGCTGACAGAGGCCCATGCCAAAGGCCCGTTTACATGGACCGGTACGACAAACTTACAACTTATTCCCCTTGCCAGGCAATTTTTTTTCTTAGGTGGCTTTCGCCTTTTGTTAGCATGTGTTGTCCCAATGTCAAGGTTACAGCCGAAACCGATCTGAAATGTATTTGTGTTTACATTCATCCCAGTTCTGAATTCATGCTGGTCTGAAGTGAGTCGGCTCGGTCCAGCAGGCGGAATTACTTGAGACCAGTCTGAGTTATTTTCGTCCTGGTCTCATGTAAACATCTATTATAAATAATACTATGACCGAAACGAAATGGTCCCGGTCTCATGTAAACGGGGCATTAACATCTTACCTCCCTTTAGTGACTTGGAATCGCCTGGTCAATCGTTGAAAGCTTTATTACTTAAGTTTGCTCGCTGTTCAACGGATGGTGCTGGAAACAAAGTTTACAACTCAAAAAGACCGCTAAACTGATCAACATAGTCCAGCTTCCTCGCGATGTCAGAAACATCAAGCTCAGGTAAACAATACAGATGTTCAGATTTCACCTCCACTACCGCTACCAGGGACCACTAACCAATCAGATGTGTTTGAAATATGGGATTAACCAATCAGATGCGTTTGAACTATGCGATTAACCAATCAGATGCATTTGAACTATGCGATCAACCAATCAGTCATCAGATGTGTTTGAACTATGCGATTAACCAACTTAATGCGTACTAAGCCAGTGAAAGGTAGCGATAGTGGAATTCAAATCTGAAACTTTCTAATAAAAGAAGCCAAAAGACAATGGATTATAAATGGACAATGGATTCGAAATGTACTATAGTAACTCGTGACATTTATCTGTATTAATTCACATTCTACCCAAGAACAAGTTTACCAGTTTTAAATAACATTTATTCGTTGGTTACTGAGCGTCCTGTAATGCTTCGGACAGGAAAAGTTTAGCAAAACTTTGTGAGGCGAACTCGTTGATTTCGTTACAGTAATTTTCCGCCTGTCCTGAGAGCAATAAGTTCTCCAGCCGAGAAGGGACTTGTAACGGCTTAAATATCTTCGATAGGTCTTCTTCGGGTAATGGTCGTTCCCCTCGTTCTTTGCGCGCTTGGTTTTCTCCTTTCTAAACAGAATGGTAGAAAGTAGGTGGTTATCAATCATACACCTGGTCCAGTAGTTTATTAATGGTGATTTGAAAACACCGAAATATTTCTTACCCTTTTCATAAGATAGGCGTCTTTCTGTTGCTGTTGTCTTGCAGAATTTCGTTGATAATTGTGAAATTTCTGTGTATCTTGGCCGAGTTCATCTACTGTTTCCATTAACAACTGAACATTCTTTTCAATAAAGTTCCTGCAATAAAACAATGCTCAGAACAACGCTTATACTGTGCCTCTACGTACACAGCCAATTCTGCGCAAGTCGGAATAGATCTGCAGCAGATCTGTTACAACCTGTTGTCAACAAGCCGATATCTGGATGCGTTCGCTCGCCTTGTACCTGTTTGTCCCCGGCTTATCAACAGGTCGTTACAAACTGTTGTGACAGAGCTGCAGCAATGCTGTTTTCAATAGGCCTGTCGCAAGTTGTTGAAACAGAGATGGAGCAATGCTGTTGTCAACAACTTGCGACAGACCTGTGAGATTGCTGGCTGTGTAGTGGGAGAACCGTTAAGAGCTAGAGCTATGTCCACTCACCCTCTTGCTAAAGACAAGAAATCATTGTGTTGTGGTTCTGTTAAAGTTTCATCCAATTTACACAAGAGTGTGTTCACTAAGTTTGAATTCTTTATCACCAGTGGTATTTCCTCGAACATCTCATCGTGTTTCATACCAATTTTATTTAGACTGTGAAATAATTGAATAAATACGTCAAATATTTAAGTGGACCAATACTATGGGAAGGGCAAAGGAGAAGGGATGTGAGCGAAACATAGTTACCTGCTTGGGGTAAACTCTTTTTCAGCATACAAATCCATCATCTTTTGCGAAAGGCGAAGGGCCCGAAATGACAAAATACCTTGCGACGTCTTTAAAGGATCTATGGTGTAAAATAATAGAAAATATGCAGTAAGGTTATATTGTATAGCAACAATGCCAATACAGATAATTATTTTAACCCAGTACCAGAACTCTCCCCTTGATAAGTAAAATCATCTGACCAGTGTTTGACTGGTATGTGAAAACGCAGTTCTGGCTTTTGAAAACGCAGTTCTGGCTTTTGAAAACTGAGTTCTGGCATTTGAAAACGGAGTTTTGGCATTTGAAAACGGAGTTCTGGCATTTGAAAACGGAGTTCTGGCATTTGAAAACGAAGCTCTGGTATTTGAAACCGGGGTTTTGGCTTTTGAAAACGGAGTTCTGGCATTTGAAAACGGAGTTTTGGCATTTGAAAACTGAGTTCTGGCATTTGAAAGCGGAGTTTTGGCATTTGAAAACGGAGTTCTGGCATTTGAAAGTGGAGTTTTGGTATTTGAAACCAGAGTTTTGGCATTTGAAAACGGATTTCTAGCATTTAAAAATGGAGTTTATGCATTTGAAATTTTCGACCTTACTTAAGCATGCATAAGACCTTCTGACCAGTTAGCTTCAGACATTTGCAGCTACCTAGGATCCCAACATCTGACAAGCATGTTGTGTATTTCTTATCAGTGTCAACATTTCTGACTCATCACCATGAATGATTGCTTACCAACCAACTACTCACCATATACAAGAACCACAGATTCTGATATTGAATTCTGATAACTGTACTGGGATTCCAACAGATTTTTATTGACAAAGGCACCAAGATATGTGGATTGATACCAGCCAACATGCAAGTGGTCGATATTAACAGACCTTAAATGTCTCATCATTTCCATCTGATAATAGACTAGAGAAATTGATGGATTTTATAATATGGGACAACAATTGGAGGGTGGGGGGTAAAGGAAATTAGGCAATCTATGAACGTGGAAGGGAGCTGCTGATATGGATGGGGGGAGGTCAGAAAGGGTAAGGTGAGCTGAAGGTGGTGGGGTGAGGTTAGAAGGGGGAGGGGTGTGAGGTAGGGTTAAGGTGAGGGGAATGTGGTGAGGGGTTAGGGATGGGAGAGGTGATGTAAGATGAGTGAGGAGGTGGGGAAGTAAGGTAAGTGGGAGTGAGGTCAGGGTGGGGTGAAGATACTGGTGGAAGAGGTGAGGGAGATAAGGAGGGGTTAGAGGTGGGGTACTGATGTATGGGTGGTGGTGGTGATGAGATGGAAGGGGTGAAATGAGAAGAACAGGGGGAAGCATGATCCATCTAGACTATAAGTCTTATTTAACTCACTGTCTTCTTCGTCATTCTCTTCAGAGTTTTGAGAAAATGGAAAACAGTTTGTAATTTCAAGTTTATTTCCTTCCACCAAACCCAACAACACTCCTTGAACGACATCCCCTTCTGCGCCTTCTTCTTGGCAATGTTGAATTATTTTGAGGACAACCTAGACCAATCATTAAATTCATACACACACACACACACACTACCCTGTCACGGACCATTGAAATGTCCAGTTTTTAATATTCAGTTTTTGTCAAAAATTTTTAACGATAGTGGATTCTATTTCTCGGTGGACGACGGTCCCTTACAAAACGATCATAATCAACTGGACGGATACACACAGAATTACTAATATTATAATATTATTTGACTACACATAACAGCAGAATAAATAGAACAGTGTACAGTCACATTTTAATATATTATTATCACGTGTATTAAAAGAAAATTATTTTAACTTTATATTCACCATTCCACCTGCACAATCGATTATTAAAACATACTTATGTTTCCAATGAATACTTGTACTTCATATACTTTGTTTAGTTTTACTTACCAAACCTTCTAAACTAACAGACTCGATCCTTTGTCTTGCTGGCATTGCCCTGGAACTTCGCTCTTTGCTCGCCATTTTGGAAAAGACTTGGGGGCTCAAGAGGATCAAAGATGGATAGATAGGATCGAAGGCAGATAGAAAAGATAAAATGTGGATAGAAAGGTTGAAATATGGATAGAGAGGGTGAAATATGGATTATGAGCAGATGAAATTTGGATAGAGATGATGAAATGTGGATAGAGAGGTCCAAAGATGAATTAGTGAGGATCAAAAGTTGATAGCCATCATCTATCCATTAAATCAACAAAGAATATATATATTCATGCGAGTATTCATAAAGATAGACAATTTTAGACAAGAATACATTTTCCTTTGTTCAATTCTAGATCCCAATCACAACTGTAACGGCCTTGTGACCATAACGATATAATCGTTCAAATTATGATTCCAACATGTGAGAACCATCTCCAAGAGGTGGCCCAATATCTCAATATTTATCCATCTATGATCCTCCTGGGCCCTCACATTGTTCCAAACATCCGCTCACGAGTGACTGGGTTGGCGATTCTGTCGGGAAAGTAATTCGATAATATAAACAGAGAATTCACAGAAGTCCGCTGGGTATTATCCACCATGCATTTGAATTCTGTCGCCTCGTTGTTTCCGTGAAGATAGCAGATCAAAACATGGCAACATTAAGGAGACATTGACTGAGAAAATATTCATTCATTTGAGTATTATGCATGGTATTATGGGCAACCTTTTTTCGCGAACTGGACGCCGCTTAAAATGGACGAAACGTTTTCCATTCGTGAGAATCGTACGCGAGAATAACAACACCGGTGATGAGGCGACCACGACAGAAGATGCGAAATGTAGTCGGGAAACCGAACCACTTATTTATGTCGCTCTGTACGACTATAAAGCCAGAACAGCCGAGGATCTTAGCTTTAAAAAGGGAGAGAGGATGGAAATTATCAATAACAAAGATGGTGGCTGGTGGCAAGCGAAATCTTTGACTTCTGCTGAAACGGGTTACGTTCCAAGCAACTACATTGCACCAGCGACCTCCTTACAAACCGAAGAGTGAGTATAGAACATGATCGTTTTTATTACTTAGTATTAATAAGATACTTTTCGCCCACTGTAAATCAATATACAAATATTTGTATTATCAAGCTTCTTTCAAAATCATCATCTATAGATCAAGTATCAAACGTCTTATAAACTACATTCGTACGCTAATTTGCTAAATTCTAAACTAATAATTTGCTACATTTGTACGAAATTCTTAATTTGCTACATTTAAGATATTCGAACTGTTCGTGCTTATCAGCGTAATATTTACGTAAATGGGCTTGGTTTTATCATAAAAATTTATTTGTATTCTTCCGGTTGCGTCTCTGTTCCCTGAAGAATGTGATAACGAACACGTTAATTATTTACTCAGTTTGCTAAAATAATATTTTACAAATTGAAATCGTATTTTACAAATTGAAATCGTACTTGTACCAAAATGGCAACTTCAATTATTGTGATTCTAAATGTGCCTAAGTTACATGTTATGTGTTGATGGTTAGTGCAATGTGATTTAATTAATATACATTCCTGTGTATTAACCTGAATGGCTTTGTTAAATATTTAGACTTTACAAATATACAACTCTTTCATTTGACTGGAGAGTTTTTGGCAATCATTTGATATAGCAGTGATATGTTATTGCCATCAACACTGTAAATATTGACACATAGTTAAATATTAACTATAAACCACATTCAATAAAATGCAAAGAAGTCGTGGGAATTTTTGTTTTTAATGTAGCTGCGAGTCAAATACAGATATTGTTGTAAATCCCCGTAAATGGACAATGTGCCCTTGGCTATATTCTAGCAAATGCTAATATATGATCTTGTTAGAACAGGAGCCAATGAACAATAATATACTAGGTTCATCATTTCAACATTGAAGAAGTGCTTAACCCTTTAATTGGCAATGTGGCCTGATGCGTCCTACTTGTCAAGGCGAGTGTGCTGCCACTCAATGGGTAGACAGGCTCATGTATTTATGCTTGACTTGGGAATAAGTGCGTAAGGAGAATAATATCTACAATGTGTTTTTCATATTTTAGCTGGTATTTTGGCTCAATAAAGCGAGGCGATGCTGAGAAATTATTAATAAACCATGGCGCACAAGGTTCGTTCCTCATCAGAGATAGTGAGACGCAGCAAGGAGGGTTTTCTCTGTCGTTGCGGGATGGTGAAAGTATCAAACATTATCGGATCCGCACCCTTGATCAAGGTGGTTATTTTATCTCAAGAAACGAAGCATTCCTCACATTGAAAGAACTGGTGTCTTTCTACAAAGAGAATGCAAGTGGCCTATGTGCACAGCTACAGCAACCATGCCCCCATATTGATACCCCTACGACCATAGGCTTATCCCACGATACAAACGACAAGTGGGAAATTCCCCGTAAGTCAATCCGTCTGCTCAATAAGCTTGGACAAGGTCAGTTTGGTGAGGTTTGGCAGGGACTATGGAATGAAACAACCCCAGTTGCTGTGAAAACCTTAAAATCAGGCTCAAAGGCAACGCACGACACTGCAACTGCATTTTTACAAGAAGCGCAAATCATGAAGAAACTCAATCATCCAAAACTTGTTCAACTTTTTGCTGTTTGCACAAAAGGTGATCCAATTTACATCATTACTGAACTAATGACCAGTGGTAGTTTACTAGAATATCTTCAAAGTGAACTGGGTCAAAGGCTAAATTTTCCACAGTTAATTGATATGGGCGGTCAAGTCGCTAAAGGCATGGCATATTTGGAACAATGTCTATATATCCACCGTGATCTTGCTGCGAGAAATGTTTTAGTCGGTGAGAAAAATATTGTTAAGATTGCTGACTTTGGTCTGAGTCGTATTATTAATAATGACGAATATATCGCGCACGAGGGTGCGAAGTTTCCCATTAAGTGGACAGCGCCCGAAGCAGCGTTGTATCACAAATTCACCATTAAATCCGACGTGTGGTCTTTCGGGATTCTACTCACCGAACTGATCACCCGGGGGCGTATTCCGTATGCAGGCATGACAAACTCTGAGGTTTTGAGAAAGGTCGAAATTGGATACCGTATGGAACAGATGAGAGATTGTCCCGATCCTTTATATCAATTGATGTTAGAATGTTGGAAGGCGGTCCCAGAACAAAGGCCGACATTTGAAACACTACAGTGGCAGCTGGAAGATTTCTTCACCATTGAGAAGACTGATTATTCTGACGCGCAGTGATGTCACAGTTATGTTACAGTCAATGCACTCTTAATACAAACTAAAATATGTATTTTACTAGACTACACCATAGAGAACAGCACAATAAAATATTTAGACTTTAATCTTTCCAAATTACAAATAGTCTTTTTACAAACTGTAGTGCAGGCAGAGATTTCAGAGGGAGAGCTAAAAACTGAAAGAGAAGTCTCTTTCTTCTGAAACCATTGCTTGCATTGTAGTTCTACATCAATTCAAAAGACTATGGTAGTGTTTTAGAGTCATTAGGTTACCCTTAGAGTCATTAGGTTTCGCGTCATGTACTGTATTATAAAATAGATAAATTAGTTTGCACTTAATGAATAATGAGCATTTAGGAAGGAATATAATATCAATTTAATTAATTAATTAATATGAATGCTTTGCAATGATAGCAATAGTATTTGTAACTAATAATATATAATCGTATGCTTTGTAATATTGGGAAAATTGTGTAAATTTTCCAAAATACAAACTTTTAGAATATAGACTGCATGAGTGGTCTGGTACAAATCTGCATATAATCGAGAGCAAGAGCTTTCGTAAAGAGCGAAGCAATTTCATGGTCCTGAAATTTTTAAATAGAGCCAAGTGGCTTAGCCAGAACGATAATTGGGGAGGGGGGGGGGGGATATTCATATATTCGTGTTCATATACCATAAAAACAATTGATTTCAAAAGAAATTAATAAAGCAGAACACGAATATATGAATATGCCCCCCCCCCCCAATTATCGTTCTGGCTATGCCACTGATAGAGCCAATAAGATTTATAAGAATTATTATAATAATGAAAAAATCTTGAAACCCAGTTAATAATACATACACTTAAAATATATATTGACATAATTAACTGTCCGTTGTGACTGTTTTATGGTTTTAACTACCATCTTTACAGGATAACACAACAGCAACCACCACTGTTATTCCTGGTGGGGGTACCGTAATTATAAGTACCATATCGTGGTGCTTGAAGAGCTGGTCGTGAGGGTTGTCCACCAATACGGACTGTGGGTGAATTTTGGTAACCACCACCAATTTGACTAGAAAGCACCGTCCTCATTGGTTGTTCGTAGTTGTTCCGTATCCAAGCTCGTGTACACGTCATCACCTTAGCAACTCTTCTATTCTCTCCACCAATTACGACATTTTCCATGACCAGCATGGAGCTCTTCACGGATGAGAGCTCGAGGAATCGGTTGGCTGATCCGTAAGTGCTGGTGTCTTCAAAAAACACTTTATCGTTGAGGATATCTGGTGAGAAGAGAATACAAAGTGCCAGTAGGTCTGTGAGCTCATCCTGACTCAGTCTGTTGTATGTTGTTGAATACTGGGTCAGCCTTCGTGGCACGTTTTGATGCAAATCTAAAACCTGGAGGAAAGCATTTGTAAATCTTTTTAACTCGTTACAGGCAGTTGCAACACAAAAGTTGCAATGTTTTTGTAGGGTGACTTTTTGCAACATTTAGCCTCTCTTCTCCGCAGAGGCTTTTGTTGGCTGTGATTACGATTAGTATTGAGATACATTTCACTACACTTTACACTGATGGCGGATCTCGGAACACGAACAGCCTCTGCGGAGGAAAGAGACCTTTAGCTGTAATCCCAAATAATCTACTGTGACCAACTATAGTCTCATGCAATGATGTATCAACTCTCATGCAACAATGAATTCTTGTTTGACCGGGATATGAGAGTTGAGAAAACTCTCATGTAAACTCTCGCTTTGCCAACTCTCGTTAAAATAATAGTACAATTGGTGTGAATGAAAAGATTTTGAATTTTTCTGTGTTGGTGTAGTGTACTCTGGTGAATATGATATTTGTGGTGTTACTCTGAGTGTATATCCACACCGGGCGAGCTTGAAAAATATGCCCGGCCACGGTGGGATTCGAACCTACGACCTTTGGAATACTAGCCCAATCTTAACTGAATGCTCTTCCAACTGAGCTACGCGGTCAGATTTTATTCTATAAGTATCTTCACTTAACGTAAAACATATTTGATATGAATAACAAAAGAAACAGCTAAAATTACTTTACTTATATGGTATAATAATATACCGTTAATTGTTTTTGTTTGTGGAAACACCACGTAAATTTATTACTGCAAAGCCAAAGCTTTCGATCCGTAAGCCCGGATCTTCATCAGTGCTAATAATATGTGATGAAGATCCGGGCTTACGGATCGAAAGCTTTGCAGTAATAAATTTACGTGGTGTTTCCACAAACAAAAACAATTATATTTTATCGCCATGCAAACATTCAAAGAACTTAATATACCGTTACCACTCATATTAGAAATATACGTTTGTTTATTGATTTGGTGATCAGTCTGAAGGGTTATATTAACTATTAAGACAAGTGGTTAGATATAGTATTGATAAAACTTTTAAACTTCTATATTGCATGTCTAGGCTTATAGGCTGTGAATGCGTCGCGCTCAGGGAGGGTGTGTGTGTGTGTGTGTGGGGGGGGGTGTTCAAAGTTGGTCAAAATGGAAGTGATATTTGCCCAAAGTTGGTCAAAATGGAACTGATATTTGCTTAAAATTGAAGGTAAAACTGGGAAAAATTTGGTAAAAGTTTGGGATAAAAGATGGTCGAAGTTTTCAGTCCCTTACAGTTGCAATGGTCCCAACATAATATATCTATCCATTCAGTGAAGACTGATATGCATATATAATTTAACAGCTTTGTTTGGCACGCATGCAAACAGGTATATATGAGAGAATACGAAAGACAATATCAGACCAACATCATTTCGCATCGCCGAACTGACTTGGTGGATATGACGGTTGGTCCTCGCTCGCCATAATATAATATAATGCATATACTGCCATCAGTCGTGCACGACAGTAGACATTGTGTTTGTATCTTTGTATACTACCTTTGTATATGCCTATAGTCAGTTGCGTTGCTGCGTTGTATTGAGTATTGTAAATGTACAGATATATAATATATATAGCATTCTACTATCAAAAGATGACGACGGTAAAATATAAATGCAGATCTAAATGACATTCTTATGTTTAATAGACATATAGTCAAAGACAAAGAAATTGCGGAAGTATTTTGTCTTAAAGTTTTTGAGCGTCACTTACCGTACATACGCAGCTCAGATAATACATCAACTTCGCTTTCGGATCGTTTGGTACGGTAACTGTCTCTCCGAATTCCCTCACCCCAATCTGGGATCTTTGTAACAGAGCCATACTTCAATATAATCACTCTATTGCTTTAAACTTTATTGCAGTCTGCAGTCACAGTCTGTCCATGTATGAATGCAAGTATTTACATAATATAAGTACTTGGATTTCATGTCACGGGGTCAGAAAAGAAATCCCCCTTCTCGGAACAGGGAGACCTTTACTGAGAACGTAGTGATATTCTTTGAATTCAAGAAAATATTTGGGGAAATATTGGACATGTGAAAAACTATGAAAGTCTGCATGGAGTGGTGACGATATCGATGGCAATCTCTGTTAATTAAAAACATTGGTAAAAACCAAATTACCTACTGGTCATACACTCATATTAGTTTTATATACTTCATGAAATTTGAGAAATTTACAGTTTAATTGAGTCAGGTCGCGTTTGGGCGATCTAGAGCGCTTACTAGTTTGGAGAATGTCATAATGTCTATAGCCTTGAGCCTTGATTCGAGCCTTGACTCCACCACATGGTAGCGGTAAGTTCGAAACCAGTCCACTAGAGGAGCTGCTATCGAGCCTCGTTTTCATGATTGCCGGATACGTTTTGCTTTAACTAATATCACATACACGAAAATGAGGCTCCTATACTAGCCAAAGTGACATGCTTGCCGGAAGAGTGTATGACTTGAATTGACGACTGATATCCAAACAACCCATTCACACAATACTACAACAACTATATGAGTATTCTCTTATGCGTGTTCAAGTATAATAAAATAAAATATGTGTAGAATGTCAATGTGTGTTTTAACGACAGGGATACGACCTTGTCGATCTCAAATATACAACAATATAAACGATATTAGAAAAACAACTAAAGGAACATTAACTCCGAAAATCCCATTTGCCTTGCTTTGAAGTTTATCAACAATACTACGCAAGTTCTGCACTTCTTTTTCAAGTTGTAGCCGTTTATTTTTCTCAGAATCCAGGTTATTATTAAGATTACTCGTGACGTATTGTATTTTGACTGCTAGGGCGGAAATATTCGTGTCCTGCCTGCTGTCAACTGCTTGAAGATTTAGTTTCGTTTTTGACAAGTCATCTTTAATATTCTTCTGTTTGTCTTTCAAGTGCGTTATATTTTTTTGAAGTTGATTCTGAACGGCGTCTATTTTTGTCTTAACATTCGCAAATGAAGAACTCAACTGCGTCTCAAAACTTTCTATCTTTTTGGACAAACTTGCGTTGGTCCGTGAGATTTCATTTTGGAATGCGTCTTTCAAAATGCGTCTTGTCTTGTTCAATTCTTTTTGAAGATTTTGCTTATCTTTCTTTGTGACAATGAAAGTTTTGTTGCTCAGTTGCGCAAGTTTCTTTTCGACATCCTTAACTTCGGAGTATAATGTGTCGGAATGGCGATCGACTATCAAATGGAAGGTCGTGTTTTGACGTGCCATTTTTTCCAAAGACTGTTGGAATTCAGTGTTCGTTTCATTCCAATACCGCCAAAGATCGTCAGTTTTTTCTGTGGTTGTATCGTTTAATCTTCTCAATCCGTTTTTGAGACCTTTTACAGCCAGGCTCAAAGACTTTCTAACTTGCATCAAATCGTTACGCAGACTTCTGTTAATTTGCGTGAATGCGGTGCGTGACAGGCGAAGGTCACCTTTGATGGCCTTCAGAATATTGCGCAAATTTCGTATCTTTCCATCTGAGGTGGTATTAATTCTTAATAGACTTAACGTTAAGTTATCTAATTCCGAAAGAATATTTTCCACATCATTTGTTATATTCTCAAAGCTGATGTTCATACGAGATCGTAGTTTCTTGTCAGCTTCGACTCGACTTCGTAGGCTGTTATTAATAGCACCAAAACGCGCGTTCCAATCCAATTCTGACTTGTTGATTCTATTGTCGATAATATAGTCTATCTTTCCCTCGTTCTTATTGCGCAGTTCGTCATACTGTATCTTTAGCGATTCATATCTATTCCTATTCGTGATGGACATGCTGAGCACCACACTAAATAAAACTGTAAGCGTAAGAAAGGCGATCAGTGCAAGTATACAAAAGAAACGTCGGCCAGGTTTACAACTTTGTCGTTCGCGCACAGGTTCTTCGGGCAGGAACATCGCCACGCTGTCGTTGTCCATCATGTCTGTTTGAGAGAGACTCGACCGTTTGCTTCTGAGATTAAATTGCAAAAACAGCAAGCATCTCAATAATTATTTGTTCACATGGCGACGACGTTGATAATCTGTCAAAGAATCTCCTCAAGGCGCTTAATAGTACCTGTGCATGCTACCACCTGCGGTCATATATTAATTGAACTAAACTCTCAACAGGCGACGAAGTTTTTTTCTGAACTTGTAGAGCGAAACAAATGTTCTAATCAACGGTCATGTGAGCATATCTTTATGTATTCACCCATAACATATTTCGCTGTGACTCGTGCCCAGTCCTGAGGCCCAGCCTTAATTATAAGGTTTATAAAAAATAAAGAAATACGGAAGGGAATGACGATTCAATTAAATCCATGACCATTACTTAAATGCTGGTTCACATATGCCTTCGGTATGCCTTTGCTATCATTGTTTACAGCTGTTGATGCATACATTTTTTTGTGAATTATTTGGTGGAACTGCTAACGACAATAGCTCGCTGATATACCGCAGGTATATACTGTGAACCAGGCTTCAATTTTATCTTCGTTTTTAATTAATCAACACTCCCGGCTATTTCTCAATTACCTGGTGTAGCTATGACGTTATTTCGGCTATTTTTTTGACCAACCCAAAAGCGAGAGCAGCAAGCGCAGACGGCACTGCGTACGAGCCGAAAGGGAACCTGTTAGGAGCTTCCGTCATTGAAAAGATACTTGCGCAGGCAATAAATGACACAATGAAGTAATATTTATCACAGCTATTAACTGTGCATTTATATAATGTTATAAAAACTACAAAATCACACTAAATTACGTACGATCTATTTACAGGCTAGCCTCCTGCGCAGACGTTGTTAGTGGCTGAGGCCTCGGCCACTAACAACATCTGCGCAGGAGGCTATTTACAGGCAAGTTTGGACAGTTTCAAATGTATATTTATAGAGCTCAAAATTATATCCTATTCCTCTATTCAGTTCCCTAAATATGTCTATGATTCTAAATTGCATGTCCCACTGACAAATTATTAAATATTTACAGGCACTACCAACTTCAGTGCTATATCTATATGTTAATAAACGTTCTTCAGTCTCGTTTAACAGGTTAAGATGTACAGCAATACAAGAATGAGTGGAGCATAGCTTCCCAACACTCTATTTGCCTTATTTTTCATTTTATTGACACTGTTCTGCAGATTTTGGAGGTCCCATTGCAGGTCTGAAATCGTCCTTGTCTTTGAATCCAGTTTTCCTTCCAGAGTCTCAATCCTGGTTTTCACCTTCTTCATTTCCGACGCTTCACCGGAAATGTCCGAGTCGTGCTTCCTGTCCTTTTCTTGGAACGCTTGCTTCGTTTTTAAGAAATCGTCGTTTGTTGCTTTCTGTTTCTTCATAATATTATCTATGCTCTTTTGGAGCTCTTGTTTAATCCCGTCTGCCTTTAAATTTATCTTTGCCATGGACAAGCGCAGAGACACGTCGATTTCTTCAAGTGCGTTGTGCCAGCTTCTGTTCGCCCGTGCGATTTCATTGTCGAAACTCTGTTGAAGACCTTGCCGCGTTTGATTCATCTCGTTACGGATATCCTTGACGTTTTTGACAGTGTAATCACGAAGCCTCGACTGCTTTTTTTCAACATCTTTCACCTCAGAGTACAAGCGGTCGGAGTGATACGCTATTTTGAAATGAAGAGTTTCATTTTGCTGAGCAATCAATTTTATGATATCCTCGATTTCGGCGTCCGTGCGATTCCAATGTCTCCAAAGCTCGCTAACATTTGCTGTTGTCAACTTTCTTAGTGTGTTTAATTCATCACTGACATCTTTCACGGCTGATATAAGGAAGGGTGTAATATCTGTGTGTATAGATTTATTCAAGTGCGCCATATCATTCTGAAGACGGATGAGATCATTTTTGGTTTCGTTCAAACTGCTACGCAGACGAGAAATCGTTGAACTCGACGAACTATTCATTCTCAAAACAACTGCGCTTAGGTTCCCAACCGTTTTCACAAGAACATCCAAATGCTCCTTTATATCTTTAAAGCTCTGGCGCAAGTCGTGTTCGGTGTTCGGGACAGATTTATTTCTCGTGTCCAATCGTCGAATCTCGTTTTGAATCGCGGCCGTTCGATTGTCAAGACGCCGCAAAGAAGTTTCGTGGTCATAGATTTTCTTTATTATTTTGACGCTCACGTCGCTCCGCGGGTGCACTTTGTAATGCTCATTTTCTTTCTTAAGAGAATTAATTTCGTGTTCTAGTTCGATAGTTTTCGGAGTAAGATAGCTATTCCAACCAATTAGACCAACGATAACGAAGATCAGGATAACCAAGAAGACACGTTTCAACGAACATGTTTCATTTGATGACTCCATCGCCGGCAATCCTACTTGAAATTTTTCCATCGAGCTCACTTTGAGGATGCAAACACCCAAATTTAAATAATCTAAGCTATGTTTTGCCTTTTAAAGCATGCGAGTAATATTGTATTCTAACATGTGTTCACACGTGTAGCCATCTGATTGGTGGATCTCAACAAGGGAAAGTCCCGCGGGGGAAGCACCGTGTTCTGTGGAATGCCATTTCTTGTTTAGCTAAGCGAAAATGTGGATGTAACAATATCAGACATTACATCATACTTGTACCCAGGGTCTTTTAATTTTTGGGCAAGAGTGTGAGGGTAAATAGCCTGGGTACGAGGTTGACAAATTGTTGACTACATATTCAATGACAAATGAATCTTTACTAACTATAGTGATTTATGATTATGACTGGAAACTATATACGTGACGTACAACCATCAAATGTTTTCAAATATAATTAAAGCTTTAAACACTGCTCGTAATATTACTGTGCAAGGTTTCGAACAATAAGCGTGCAATCTCATCTCAGGAAGCCCAGGCTGTGCTCAGGTGTTGCCCGCATCCAGCCTGGATGCGGGCTACAAACAGAGCCTGGTCTTCGTGTGATCTGATTGATAAAATGAAAGCGAACCACTAAGTCCACTACAACATTTACAAAATGGCGTCATTTATGTCAAAATTAATTGATCAATGCAATGTTGAATGGTTAAACTAGTTAATGCTGCCCTAATCAATATTGATGTTTAAATGAACTTTAAGAAGTTGTTCTTCTATCTCTTATTCATTTGCAAGTTTATTTACAAAAGTCAAGTCAACATAAACTCAAACTGAAACAATTTTCTTGCGAAATTGTCCTTGGGCACTGATGGCGAGATGCCTTCTCCCAACTGGTTTTAAATTCAGACTATTTAGTTCAAAGAGTTTATCCAGTTTCTCGTTACTTTCACTAGTACCGGCTCTCGTAGTGAAATAACTTCGCTCTAATTCTACGTCACTGCCTGTCGACGAGCCTCCGTAACATCCCGATGTCGAGCACTCGCTATCACTCGTGGAACCTTCGATATTCTTCGTTACTGGCCGTAACTGGGATAAAGATAGAGACTTTTGCTTAGTATCCGTGTTGTTTACGTTTGATTTTTCTGCGTCTATTTGAGACAAAGGACGCGCTTTTCTTGCTCCCGTAGAAGCCAACGTTTCATGCGATTCCGCAAAAAGGCTTTTCTTCCCTTTAGTAGTATATTCGTCTCGCCGAGCGGAGTCCAAAAATTGGCAACTCAATGATTTTCTTTCCAATCGTAGCGACGAAATCTTTTTGCGTGAAACATCGGCAATTGTCGTCGACTGAGAGCGCTTTGCCGTCGCCTTTGGAAGAGTTGCCTTTGGAGTGGAGGGATCGCAAGGGACTTCTATGTACTCGAACGATGTCTCTTGTAATCCTTGAATGCCATTATTTATCCGCTTGCCAGTAGTACTCGGTTCAGTTTTCGCGATTTTTTGCACTCGCTCTTTTTTAGTAGTTTCGACATTTTTCTCTCGCTCTTTTCTTGCAGAATTTTTCCCCTTCGTCGACGAGGGGTCAATGGTAGGACCACTAGGAGAAGTTGGGGTTGTTGAAGGTAATGGTTGTTTTGAGTCATCCTGATCTTCAAGCGATCCATATATACCCCCTTGCACCCTGGCGATTTCTTTGAGATCTTGTATATGTTCGTTCAGTGACGTCAACTGTATCAAAAGTGCCTGGTCTTGCTTGCGTAAGGACATCTAGGATTATTTCAAATGAATGAATTAATTTATGCTAGTTAAACTAACTAACCAACTAACTAACTAATACATTAATCCGCGAACCCATTAATCGAGTCGGCGACCTCAACACACGACTCTCTATATATATATCAATATTTTTTTTTTAAGAAATGCTGTCTTTGTCCAAAATAAACAAACAGAGCCAGAGGACATCCCGTGATTAACTTCATTAATTTTTATACTCGTAAACATAATTTGGCGCGCATTTGTCATGCAACATGGTGTTTTTGTTCTTCAGGCGTAACACTTAGCTTGGGCGCGCACCGCAACATAGTTAAAATGTGCTGGCATCAAAATGAATGAGAAATTGAAAACGTTCGTGCACATTCTTGTGAAAATACGATAGTTTCGTGAACAGCAGTTGACGTGTCGTTATAGAAATGTAAACAAAGTTAAACACGTCTGAGGGGTGAACATTTTGGAAAACATTTGAAAAATGAAGATTAAATAAATTACTAAATCATTATTTTGTAACAAAACGAAACCGAGATCAGGCCGCAAAGGTTAAAGGCAGGTTAATAGTTCTGCTATTTCGGAACATCAACAGTCCTTGTCATTTTCAATTTCTGTTGCATTCCATATGCAAAGTATCAGACTGGGCGTAGACAGTAATTAATTAAGCTCAGAACATTATTGTTTCATTTCACTAGCGTAATTGTCGGAGTAATGAAGAACAATTCTAGCAAACACAACTACTGCGTCCATGTGTAGATCGTGTAGGGATAACTTTCGTTGAAAGATTAAACTAATCTGCGTGAATGCGCGCAAATATTCGCACGCCTGCACCAATAACCTCGTTATAATGTTAATGCAAATACAAGCTGTCAAAATTCATATTATGAAAGTACAACTTTCTAACGATCAATCACAAATTGATCATTTTACTCTGTAAAGACCATGGAAATAGCATTAATATAATTATCAAGTCTATCATTTTTGTGTGTTCATTAACATGCTAAGACGTTTCCAAAGTACCGTGCATGGTTTGGTTTTGTGTGGTGCGGCTCTCTGCTTCGCAAAGGCTCTCTAGCGCGCCTTTTCATCTTGCACAATACGCACTTGAAAGCACAGAAAGTCTCTGTGGAAGAGAGGTGCCGCAGATTAGCCGGTAATGTAGGAATGTACACAAAGAGAAAATTAAACAATTCAATGTCATTTTTGGCAAGCAATGTACTTGCCCTTTCCGTACCACTTGGGTTGGGATAATGTCCAGCATTTTCTACTTTCCTCCCGGCCGTTCCCACATAGAACTACATTGAAACAATGTTGGAATGCTTTGCACATTTTTGATACATTTCGACTATAGATGGTGTGCAGCCAATATATAAAGCTAGCCACTTAGTGTTACCTAGTGGGAATATGAAGTTGCTAATGAATTGAAGACTGCCCAGTGACAGTGGCGATGAAGGACAACAAATCTGGGACCCTGGAACGAAGTTGCAACGGCACAAACTGAGCGATTAATCGTTCAGTCCTTAGATCAAAAACTTTGCGTCAAAGAATGATACATACACTGTAAGTATGATAGCAGAAAGCCGTCATTTTATTGTGCCGTGTATTCGTGGATGAATACTAACAACATGACCAGTTCTTGAAATAATCCTTCTTATCTTTCTACACAGATTGTCTTTCTATCTATAAATATCGCACTTTGGCGTTATTTTGGACTGATTTTCCAGTAATTTCCTGCCAACACCTTGTCGCATGTCACATATACAATCGGATATCTTATGTATAAACTATAGTTCGAAATATGTATCCGCAATATATAAAATAAAGACAAATTGTAAAATATCAATCATTTATGTAGATGCTAACTTTCGTATTTTCTTGCTAGTTTAGAGGAAATATACCGCGCTATGGAAATAAACCGTAAATACACTAAATATTATAGCAAGCCCTAAGGGCTAAGGCTAAAGCTTATAACATTATAGTCGCATAGACTGCGGTCTTTAAATACAAAGTTTTTTTTACCTTTTTTGGGCTCAAACATAAGCGTGTATAGAAAATATTTCGATGTTTTTTCGAAGTTAGTAGGCTATTTTTTAGATCGCCTTCAACTATCAAGACTCAAGGATCGTGATATTGGCATCACTACACTGGGAATTAATGCCCAGGATATAATGGATCAGCAAGCATACATGAGCCTACTTTATTTAAACTTCCTTAATGAGGGATAGTTTCTTTGAATTACCGAACCAGTATCCCATGCCATAATTATCAGGATGCGCGCTTGCGATAAGAAAACATGCAGAAAATTGCGCATTAACATAGAAAGCACTGAAATTATTGAAATATGAGTAAAATGTTTAAAACCTATCTCTATGTGATCGAAAGCGACCGCAAGTTATTTGAATACCCTTGCCTATTATCCGTAAATCGTAATGAAAATGGGCTAAGCCTATTCGGAAATCGTCACGTTATGATGGCTATCAGTTTATCAGTATCATACCATAAGCAATAATCACTAAAGTGCGATAAAAATACGCTCATTAGCGGTTTATTTGAAATGAAAAACATACTGATTCACTCACCATCTCTCGTCTTAATGTAGCTATACACCGTCCCAAACGCTTGCCAGCGTCTTGTACGTCAGTTGCTTTGTCCTTGCCTGCCACTTTTATTGTCTTCTTTTTCTCGATTGAAAATTCGGGAAAGAAATCCGACTGTGGTCTTGCTGTGTTTACTCTTTTGATCTCCCGTCTTCGTACTACCGGTTTCACTAAACCCCCTTCTCGCCGCTCCTCAAAAACATCCAGCGACGTATCGCGAACGTACGTACTCCTTCTACGCAAACACACTTCGGAGCGACTGCGTTCCAAGCTCAAACCTTTCTGCGTCCTCTTCGCGTCTGGCGTATTTGCCACGCCGCATCGAGCAACATTGTTTGTTGAACTAAACCCAAGGCTTGTACTTTTTGATTTTGATCTCTTCAACAAGAGTCGTTCTTCTACGTCTTTATACGGGACAATTGTTTGCGATATTGTCCGCCTCACTACCACAAAACTACCGGCGGCCATTAGGCAAAGTTTCACTTCGTTCCGTGACGCCTCGCGTTCTGCTTTTCGCAAGCGAAATTCTGCAAACTCTGGCTTAGCTCGTGTCAATATTTGAACCTGTGTGTGCGAAAAGTTGACGGATTAGTCAAGTCTAGCACCGTGTCATCACTGAACGATGAATATTTAATTAAATCAATCTTAGGATGTCAGGTGTCAGCAGTTTCTGGTCGAGACAAAATGGAAGCCTGATTCATGTGATATATTATAGCTATTAACGCAGCTCATTAGCAAAGCTCAACACAAAAGTCGCTAAATATCACAGCATTTTTAATGGCTATATTTATTTAATGGGATATTGATTCCTAGCCGGTGTTTCCTAAGCGGTGGGCGAATAAAAACAAAGTTATTTTGAGCTGACTCGTCTGAAACGATGGTTTCATATGTCAGGTGGCGTTTTGGCATGGTTACTGATACTTCCTATCTTTCAGTATTCAAATTATCTTTTTTTGAATAATGGGCAAAGTGACAGCACTAGAGCTCATTTCCGTATCAACGTTACCAAGCAATGAAGACTGAAGAGTACGAACCACTTTCATACTATAAATAATACATTTCTATTAAATTTCCTATACAAATCTTTTCCGCAAAAACGAAACATTTTACGCCATCAAACATTTTCAGATCACCGGTTGAAAAATGATTCAAAATCGAGATAGCGCAGAATGCAGATGAAATGTTCCAATGTGACGCCCATGGTCTAAGTCGGTGTGTGCTGACCTAGCTGTGTGCGTCCTGTGATGGAATATGCTTGTCCCGTTTTCCACGACTCCTTACCCAATTACCTATGCGAAGATCTGAAGAAGTTACAGAAGCGAGCCCTTCATATCATCTTCCCAACGTTACCTTATGCAGAAGCTTTGGTAGAAGCGGGAGTTGACTCATTATTTAATAGAAGACAAATTCTAACTACTATTGTACTAAATTATTTAATGACATTGCAAATGACTAAAGTCATAAGCTTTACCAATTACTACAAAGTAAGAACTTTTCAAATTATAATATGAGGAAAGAGAACATTTTTAACGTTTCTATTAGTAGGACGAATAGATTTAAAAATAGTTTTATACAACATAAATTACATAATTCTACAATGCATTTTAGATAAAGTAAATATTTATTGTAAAGTTAGAAGCGTAATTCAACCCGTGGGTTGTAATGTTTTTAATTAATTGAGTAAACTATCTATCTATCTAAGAAATTGTCTTCATTGATCAATAAGGGTGAAAAAATAAAATTCCATTCAGTCCATACTTTCCTAGTCTGCTAACATTCCACTCGAGAACTGCAGAGAACCGTCTCGTTCTAGCCTCTAGAATGCTGTATGTTACGTTTATGCCCAAAATATATGCCAAATTTTACGCTTTATGTACAATATCGTACTTTTAGGCTCGTTCCATAGATGTACCGCTTGTATTCTGCTGATGTGAGGCTTGCGCGTTATCATTATGCATATTAATGCATATTAAATAATGAGACTCAACGCATGCGCAACGTTCTAAGGTTTTCAAAATAAAACGTTGTACACTCCCCCCTGACATTGAAAGCTCGTAAACACCCCTCCCCCCGCCCTTGAGTGGGCGGAAATAAACCGGAAATGATTTACAAACGCGCGAATGTTTTGAAAAAGTTTCTCCGGCAATCTGATTGGTCAATCTGTGATTTCTGCCGGTCTACTTCCGGTGTTATTCTTTGACGTCATGTTGTGATGGATCTTCGCTTCGAGGAAAGCAAAAATTTGTGTAGAAATCTTGGCCTTTGGTGAGTAATCTCTCAATTTCTTTGCAATCCTAGTAGATAATTTGCATTTTTTATCGAAACTACAACCCTGAATCATTTTCTCACTTGAATCTGGGCTTATTTTGTGAAAGGAAGTTTACACATTTTGTGAATTTTGTCTTGAATTGCGATTTGTTGTGGTACATTTTTCGCATTTCGTGCAAAATGTTGATGTTATGGGGCTATATTCTTCTACTAAGAATGTGTGTATTCCCTCAGGGAGACTTTGTTATAAAAGCTACTCCCGTTAACATGAATATTAGTAGAGTTAGTTGCCCGTGTTTGCATGATTTACTGAAAAAACTGGAAAATTTTTAGAGCATATGTAAATACTATTTTGATTGATCAAATTCGATATTTCAGTGTCTTGCAAAGTAATTTGCGGTCAGAATCTTACTTCCATGTACTGTAAGTGATCGATGTTCATGTGTTAAGCTTTTAATCTAAGCAAGTACAACGGGTTCGAAGTTTTTAAGGTTTTGTTTGGAAAAAAATTTGTATCGTAGGATTGTAAATTTGCAAAATTTTATGGCTTCACTTCCTGTCAGCATATTTTTGGTTTGTAAATTTCAATCGTTTTGGAAATTTCCGCCCTTTACTTTCGACCTTGTTTCCTGTAAATGTTTCTTGATGTCCGTAGATTTATAACACTTGTTTTGAGTTTTTTATATTTGTCCTGTTTTGAATCGAAAAAGATGAAAATTTGAGTGAGAAAGTGTGTGAAATGTATAATACGGTTTGTTTACTTTAATAGTGTGTTGGTGGTAGGTGTTTTAGTGCACATTTTGAAAATGCCTGGCATAGTGTTCTTTTCCCCCGTATATTTGAATTTCTTGTTTATAAATGCTTTTGCAAGTGTGTATGTTGTGAAGTATTTATCAATGACAGAAGTTTCATGAATGTATTTTTGCTAGTAATTGTATTGTACAGACTACAGTTATATGTGAAACATTATATAATTGTGATGCAATATTGCTGTTTTATATTGTAAGGTTGAACAGCCTTATAAACTGTGAAATTTTGTAGGCGGATTTTGATAAGGTTTGCTTTGCCTTTGTGCGAGTAATCTGTCCTGCTGACAAATGTAATTCAACATGGCATAAAAACTCACGCTAGAAAACAATCATAACTTCCCACGGAGGAAATTGGAAGTTAACCCCCCAACCCCTTTTGGATGTCCTAATACACTTACCATTATCAGAAACAAAATTTTCTCCCCTCCTCCTCTTGACGGTAGAAATTTCCTCCGCGGGGAGAGTGGAATTTTTCTGGAAGACCCAATAATTGTAAATTGTGTTTGTTCGTAGGCGTGCAAGCATCAGGGCCATGTGATTGGATAAAATGAAAAGAACTCGAGAAGAGCACGAGAAAGTTTACGGTCAACACAGGGGATTTCCACATCCAGTCTTAGCACCAGCCCCAGTTGGCCTTGGTGGCAATTTTGAATCAATACCCGAGAATATTGCTGTATCCATGGGAAATTATCAATCTAATCCAGCTCTACCTCAGAATTATCCGTAAGTTGTTGATACTTTTTGATTGTGAGGACATGGTCCCATGTGAAGAACAACCTGACAAAAGTTAAAGGACAATATGGAATAGGTCCATAAGTTAAGACAAGGACAATGACTCGAACAGCATAGGTAGTGACAATAAATTCAGAGGACAATACACTATCTTTGTAGCTTATGTATGCTATTATGTAATTTCTAGGGTTGCAGGTCCTGCTGGACCAGGACAAGGCCATAGTCCGTTGCCTTCTCATCCTCAGGTAAAGCTTTGTTGTTTGAAAATTAATTTCATAATGATTGTCAATTGCACTCACAGCCCCAGTCTTATATATATCAAGAATTTGCAACACAATAACTGAATAACATGCATCACCTTCGCGCTAGAAGAAATCCGATCTTCTGAATTTCATACCGTGCTACCCTCTAACGCAACACATCAATTGCTTTTAAAACACTGCAGATTAGGAATTCCAGTGCATTCGGAATAAAAGAATGACTGCATGCAATAGCATGCCTAATGCGCCCAATCGCCCATGGAATGTGATTCATTTGATAGTCGGTCTTTCATCTTGTGGTCATACATCTTATTTGTACGTCTAGGCTCACATGCATCCCCCCGGGGCGCAGGCCCACATGCAAGGACCTGGTGGGCCAGGGCAACAACAGTTTCAAAGACTAAAGGTATGTCACCGCAGACATTGTGTCTTTTAAAGAACACGCATGCTGCAGGCGCTAGATAATTGATTGCATTTCCATCTATCACACAATAATGCTTAAGGGTATAAAACCCACTGTTCTGGTCTTAGGTTGAAGATGCTTTATCGTACCTTGATCAAGTGAAAATGCAGTTTGGTAATCAACCACAGGTCTATAATGACTTCTTGGATATCATGAAGGAATTTAAATCACAAAGGTACTCAGAAAAGCTTTGGTTTGCAATTATAATAATATTATACTATCCTACTAGTATTTAATATAAAGCAAGCCTATTATGTAATTTCTTAATTTTTTCCTTTCAAAGTATTGATACTCCAGGTGTGATCAGTCGTGTTTCAAACCTGTTCAAAGGACACCCGGAATTGATAGTTGGTTTTAATACATTTCTTCCACCTGGCTATAAAATAGAGGTTCATCCCAATGATTCAAATTCAATATCCTATACAACACCTCATCAAACAACATTACAGAATGCGACTTTGACTGGCCAGTCTGTACACACGGTAGGTACATCATGACCAAGCCAGACTGCTGGAGTGCTGGTGATCTCTAAATATAAATGTCACTATAACTGTGGTGCACATTTTTGCAAAAGTCTACAGTAACCATTAATAGGTTTAGAGTTAGGGTTACGAATTTAACCCAAGTTGCATGGTGCCTACTAATGCCAGACAATTCTGCTCATCAAGGGCAGAGTGTTGCACTCAATGGGTTAACTCATTGGGCTGCAATGCACCTGACTTTATTCTTTTACTCTGTCTAACACCAGATGATTTTACTTGCCAAGTGGAGAGTCTTGACTAATGGGTTAAGATCAAATCAAAATACAAGTCTAAAAACATTCATTTTTTTCTTTGAAAAATAGATAAGCTTGACAGGAAATCATGGTGCTCATAGTGTGTCCCACGTACCGTCCTTCACTCATCTCCCACCTTCTCAACAGCCGCAGCAACAGCCGGCAACCCAACAACCCCCTACAGCACACGTGCAACAACAGTCACAACATCAACAACAGTTGGCAGTCCTGTCGCAACATGCAACGCAACAACAAGCAAAACTTCAGGCCAACAACATCGGGCAACAACCACAGGCGCATCAAAATCAACCGCAACAGAGGTCTCTTCACTCTTCTCCAACAAATCAAAATCAGGTATGGTTCCGTACTTGTATAGTAAATCTAGTATATCACTATCGATACCATGATTATTATTATTGATCACCAGTCGTCATTAGTACTGCCATTAGGCCAAATAAAAATAATAGTTGGTTTCAGGTTTCCAACCGACCTGTCAAAAATATGACCGACCATAAACATTTTATTGACATGTCCCAGTAGAGAGATCATCTTTTCGTAAATAGCAGAATATGTAAATAGTCATCAGACTCATTTGTCTACAAATTATTTTGTTTGCTTATAATTTAATTATCTAGTCATGTTAGTCATAGTTTTACACAAAGAGCAGTTGAATAAAATATTAAAAACGTACATTATTCTGACATGGCAGCTACGGCTGAAAAAAGACGAAAACGCCTTGATGCGTTTGTTTCTCACGAAACACATGTGCTCGTGGGCAATCCCATTATTGCATACTTGAGATAAAATCTTTTTTTAAATAAAATATTTTTCTGACCTACCTACCCATATAAAACATGGCTGTGAAACCTGAGACCAACTATTATCATCACCAATGTCATCGCCACCATTATCGCCATCATCATTATCACCATCATCATCACAACCACTACCATCGTCATCACCACCACCGTCATCACCACCACAGCCACATTACCATGACCACCCCTCTCCGCTTAAACTGAACTATTTTCTCAATTTAGCCACAACAACCTGTTGAATTTAATCATGCAATCAGTTATGTAAATAAAATAAAGGTATGTTTTGTGTACCATGTTTTAAGTATTATGTAACAAGTTACTTTGTTGCTGTAAAATGCAAATCTTTGCCTGTTTCTAGACTCGCTTCCAAGGACAACCAGACACGTACAAGGCTTTTCTAGAAATTCTCCACACATATCAGAAAGAACAGAAAAATATCAAAGATGTGAGTTATGCAAGATCTCCCATAATTCCACAACAACAAATGAAAAATATAAGTTCTAAAATAACATTTGTAATTATATAGGCTGCTTCACAAGGAGGGATTATTGACCCTGATGTATGTATTTATTGCAATGTACCATACAGTTCTGTTTGTTTGAGTAAAATGTAATGGACCATTTGCATTATAGACTAAATTTTGGTCTAGACAAAAATTTCATCACAGCTTGAAAGAGCATCACAAAATTAGTAATATTCCAAAGTTTTGTTGCGAAATGTTGTAAAATGCGGATAATATAGCCTTGCGAAATTTGCAATTTTCAGTCGTTTTGTATTACAAATGGGAAATTGATGCCCAACACCCGATTGGGCTGTCAATTTCCTGTGCGTAATACAAAATGACTGAAAAACGGCAAACTTCGCATGGCTATATTATCCGCATTTTACAACATTTTGCAACGAAACTTTGGAATACTACTAATTTTGTGATGCTCTTTCAAGCTGTGATGGAATTTTTGTCTAGACTTGTCTAGATCAAAATTTAGTCTATAATGCAAATGGTCCATTAATGTATAATATTATGTCTTATTCTCATCTTTCATTTTTAGGGACCACATATCACTGAGCAAGAGGTTGGTTCTTTAATATTGCTTATTTGCTGCAATATGTATTTGTATATATGTATTATATCAACAGAACACACTGCATTTTACCACACTGAAAATTACAGTCACCAAAATTCACTCTTGTTAATTGTAGATGTATGTGAGAGAAGCAAAGCTTGCAAATGATGTGTACAAACAAGTTGCCAAACTATTCAAGAATCAAGAAGATTTGCTTCAGGAATTCAGTCAATTTCTTCCAGATGCTAATGGAGCTCAATTGACGGGCTTGGTGTGTACTTTGCTGACCTTAATTTTAAGATTTTTGCACATACTGATATGATATATTCTATACATATATTATATATTTTTTATTTTTAGGTCTATTGAGTATTGTACAGTAATTTGCAAAACTATCATTTTCTTTACAGAGTGCCCTCTCAAAGCGAGCACACCATCAAATTTCAAGTGTCTCTGCGTCGTATGGTCCACCAAGCAAAAAGCAAGCTTGTAAGTAAACTGAGAAATGGCCAATAGCCGTCACACACACTGCTATAGTCTTTGTTTTACTTTAATACATATATGGTTTATTATCACAGTGAGCTCAAATTCTGTCAAGAGAAACTTTGGACAAGTTCGGAGGTCGTCTACGTCTCATCAGGGCAAGGTACTGTAATTGTGAAGGATAATTTTTTTCTCTGTTTTTTTTTTAATGACTTCCAACAAAGTGTAATTTATGCATAACTCAATAGCATGTGCAATTTCTATGATTTTTTGTCAGGTGAAATCACGATCTAGCGGAATAAAGGAGAATAACACGCCAGATCCTAGCAGTGTTGGTTCTGTTGCTGAATTTGCTTTCTTTGATAAGGTATCATGAACTAGGCTCAGTGTATTGTATGCCAGTATGGTGCATCTGTAGGTGACGTTGTTTCGGTGGCGTGGTCATCAGAGCATGTGCCTGTCACCTCTGAGTTCGTGGGTTTGATTCTCGTTACGGACTCATGTGAAAAGAGTGAGTCAACACTCTGGCGAAAGCCGTGGGTTTTCTCCGGGTGCTTAAGTTTCCTCCCACAGGGAAAGTTGACAGGGTGGGTTAGGATAAACATAGTTAAGAAAGTCTTATCACAATTGTTGTAAAGATAAAGTAGTCCAGGCTAAGTATGTGATTAGGTAAGCGTAATACTTGATGTAAAGCGCATTTGATGTGATGTAAATGGACCTTTCACCTTTCGACTAAAATTTAGATCTCAACAAGTCTAGACAAAAAATTTATCACAGCTTGAAAGAGCATCACAAAATTAGTAATATTCCAAAGTTTCGTTGCGAAATGTTGTAAAATGCGGATAATATAGCCTTGCGAAGTTTGCAATTTTCAGTCATTTTGCATTACGCGCGGGAAATACATACCTCCTTCGGAAAAAGAGTATGTATTTCCCGTTTGTAATCTAAAATGACTGAAAATTGCAAACTTCGCAAGGCTATATTATCCGCATTTTACAACATTTCGCAACGAAACTCTGGAATATTACTAATTTTGTGATGCTCTTTCAAGCTGTGATAAAATTTTTGTCTAGACTTGTTGAGATTTGAATTTTAGTCAAAAGGTGAAAGGTCCATTAGCGCTATAGCAGGGCGCTTATATATAAGCGCGCTTATATATAAGCGCCCTGCGCTATAGAAATGGTGATCGTCTCTGTCAAGAGTCAGGCCTCTTATTATGCTTTCTGTATTTGCAGGTGAGGAAAGCATTGCGGAGTCAAAAAGTCTACGAAGACTTTCTTCGTTGTCTCAAGTTGTTCAACCAAGAAGTTATCTCGAGAGCTGACTTGGTTCAGCTGGTCTCCTCGTTTCTGGGGTTTGTAGTAACTTTTCCTTATATGGTTTCATGTAATCTTGGTATGTCTTTGAGTAAAATTTTTAACACCGCTGTTTGCAGGAAATTTCCGGAGTTGTTCAAGTGGTTCAAAGAGTTTCTTGGTTACAAAGATTCCAGCCCGATGGAAACGCCAGGTTTCAAGGAACGAACCTCGGGCGAGCTTGCTCATCTTGAGATTGGTGAGGATAAATAAAGATTTACAGCCTTTTCATATCTTGCTTGGTTCTTGAAATATTTTAACTGAAAGCAGCGAGCCAATTAAACAAGATAGCGGAAAGCTCATTGCTTTCAGTCAAAATATTCCGATAGCTGAGTTTGGTATGAAAAATCTGCAACAAAATTTAATACATAATTTAAAAGTTCTTTCAAAGGAGGCAAACTAAATTTTTAATTCCTTGAACACACCTTTACTTCGCTTTATTTAGACTATTCGTCGTGCAAGCGTTGTGGTACGAGCTACCGCGCACTACCCAAAAGCTACACGCAACCAAAATGCACTGGACGTACAGCATTATGTCGTGAAGTCCTTAACGATACCTGGGTATCTTTTCCGAGTTGGTCGGAGGACACGACCTTCTTGGGGACGAAAAAAACGCAGTATGAGGAATATATATTCCGCTGTGAAGACGAACGATTTGAATTGGACGGAATACTAGAGGTGAACTTATCAACAGTACGTGTTCTTGAAGCTGTACAGAAGAAACTAAGTCACATGACTTCGGAGGAACAGCAGAAGTTTCGGCTGGATAGTTGTCTAGGTGGAACTTCCGAAGTTATACATAAGAAAGCAATACAGAGGATATACGGTGATAAAGCTCCAGATATTATTGACGGGTTAAAGAAGACGCCTGCTGTCGCTGTTCCTCTTGTTCTGAAGAGGTGAGGGAATGATCTCTTACGTTTAAAATAAGTCATTTTAGAATTGTTCCTGTGCCATTACAACAGATTTAGAGAGGTTCAAATTTGACTTCCACGACAGCTGCCGATAATCAATCAGATGTGTTTAATCTACCAGATTAACCAATCAGACGCGTCCTGAGTCATTTAGCGGTAGTGGAAGTCGAATGTTAATCCCTCAGATTCCCTCTAAAGGTCCAGACACACCGGACGCGATTTTTCGATTTTCACTGACCGATAACTTTGATTCTAGTTTAAAATTTCCAAATATTTAGAAGCGCTATAACATTTTGAGTTATTTGGTCTAGATATCTTTCAAAATTTGCTTTTATTGGCTATTTTATTAACTTTCAAAAACTAAAAAATCGCGTCGCTTTGTCGAATCGCGTTCAGTGTGTCTGGACCTTAATACTGTACGTGTGTTAGATTGTAAATAAAGTAGATTTACAAGCTGCTATATAATGTTGTCAGGTTAAAAACAAAAGAGGAAGAATGGCGATCAGCTCAACGATTGTATAACAAAGTATGGCGAGATCAGAATGAAAAGTATTATTTAAAGGTAAATGAGGCACTGGCTGTTTATTGTGTACTGTAGTTGGTTGACCATGTGAGAATAGTGGTCTAACAAAATCTGATCTTTGGTTTTGTAGTCGCTTGACTATCAGGGTATGACGTTCAAGCAAAATGATCTCAAGGCAATGCGATCGAAGAGCTTGGTAACAGAAATTGAAAATATTTGGGATGAAGTGAGTGAATTTCCGTACTGTTTTGTGTTGGTATGGTATGGAACTGTATACGTCATCATTACAAATATTAAGCTACGATCTTTAATCTCACAGAAACAAGAGCAAGTTACCGAAGGAAATGCTGATCAGAGTGGGCCACATATGATCTTTACTTACAAGGTATTTGACTACAATGTTTTAAGGCCTGTTGAACCAGTCGATGTTGGTTCAACATTCTCTTACATTATTCGATGGAACACGGTTGGATTGGGTTTGACTTTGAAGTTTGAATGGTCCTTGGTGTGTTGAGATTTTAACAAGTTTTTCCTAACCGTTATCAGGATAAGTCCATTCTTGATGACGCTGCTGGTCTTATCGTTCACCACATGAAACGTCAAACTGGAATTCACAAGCAAGATAAATCAAAGATCAAATCTTTGCTGTATACCTTTGTTCCTGACTTGTTCTTTGCACCAAGGTAAGTACTATATGGTCACTATGATATCTCAAACATGGCGGTCCAGTGTAGGTAGGATTCTACAATAAACTGCCGTGGTTTGTGTTTGAACTACCTGAAAAAGATATCTCAAACGTGGTGGTCCAGTGCAGGTGGTATTCTACAGTAAGCTGCTGTGGTTTGTGTCTGAACAACCTGAAAAAGATTGAGAATCCCGTCGATGCTTGGAATGAAGTTTTGTGGCTAACAAGCTTCACTATTGATCTTCACTTACTGTCTTTTAGAGGCGAATTGAGTGATGACGAAGACTCAGTAAAAGATAGCAATGGCATTGGTAAAGTTGTTTTGTTCTGATTTGTGCGAATTGTAGCTGACTTTTGTCAACTTTTTACATTGTCAAATTTTGGTATTTTAGGAAGGACTGAACTATCCAACGGATTACCTGAAGCGGAATCGGTGCGTAATCTTGGGAAGTCGGGCAGTGGTTTTAGTTTAAGATCCTAGTACCACAAGACATTAACTGACTATGAATGTGTTTGTTTCAGGATGATGCTTACAACTTATTTTTTGTGAATAATAATTGGTACATCTTTCTGAGACTTCATCAGGTTAGTACCGTCGTTGCATCCAGAGACGAACAGTCGAGCATCTGAAGATTTCAATGACCTCAGCCAACAACGTCAGAGACTATAATTAAACAAATCTTGTATGACGGAACTTTCTCTAAGCCGCATTTTAGTAATTCTGTGTTTGAATAATTAGACCATGTAGGCTTAGTACAAAAGATTTGTAAATGGTCTAATTATTCAATTTCTAAATGGTCTAATTATTCAAACACAGAATTTATAATTAAACAGTGAGTATTATGCCAGTGATCCTTTGCACGCTTGTGTTTACATTTTATGTTTACATTCGGCTGTATCTGATGAATATACTTTCATCACAGACATTTTTCATAAGAAAACGCAACATTTCACAAGATATAACGACTTACTTCGTTTAAAAGAAGAAATAGAGTTGTTTTTCAATAGGATTCCGATAAATATAGGCTAATACAAATTAAATATTGGAGATCACTTATAAATATCTCAAGAGTCAGCCATTTTCTGGGACACCAAGCGCCCAAAGGATCACTAGCACTATACTCGTGCACTCTTTAAACATGATATTGTCCGATCAGATTAAAAGCTGTCAACTGCTCTTGACAAACGCATGCGAGTTCGAATTTCATTTTCTTTCTTTCGTAGATGGTTTGTGAGCGATTGTTGAAAATGTACCAGCGATCTGTTGAGATCGCCGAGGGTGAGGCGTCGGACAAGAAACAAAGAAAAGAATCCACCGCTGTCGCATTACGACTGAAGGCTCCCGCGGATATTGACGTTGAGGAATATTACCCAGCATTCCTTGACATGGTGCGTAATCTACTTGATGGTAAGTAAAATATAAGCTGTTTGTTGACTCCAATAGATAAAGTATACACGAGTTTTATCGAGCGTTAAAGGACGGTAAGTATCTACCGAATTTGAAGATGGGGAACAACTTACTATAGAAGTTGTTAAGGCCCATCATTTCCACCCAAGAAAAATTTCCATGGACAGAACATTTTCCGAAAATATCATTGTTAAAAGTTGAAAATTTTCAACTTCAAAATTTTTTTCCGACGGAAAATTTGTGTTGACCAATCATATTTCACAAAATTTTCTTTCCGCGGAAAATTTTCCTGAGTGGAAATGGGCTTTTATAGGAGCAAGACATTTTAGACAAGTATATATGTATATTTTCTTGTGTAGGAAACATGGAAACAAGTATATTTGAAGACACATGTCGTGAAATGTTCGGTGTACATGCTTATATTGTCTTCACGATTGATAAACTTGTGCAGAATATTGTGCGACAGGTGAGTTGACGCAGAAAAACTATGAAACAAGCTTTCGTTGGTGGGGATGCAACTACCTGATAAATACAAGGAGAATTTCGACGTTTCGAGCGATGGCTCTTCGTCTGGAGTTACTAGTGGGCGGGGGCGAGAAAATAACATGAGCTTTTACACTAAGAATATAAAAGCATTACGTGACAAAAAATAAACCAATCAGATGGATTTAGTAAAAACAAATTATAAACAAAAAATGTAAACACTATTCAGAATAATAGAGTATATTAATACAAATATACAGAAAACTACAACAAATACAACAAAATATATGAGACAACTATGGAATAGGGTAAGAATTAAAAGCACTATCAATGCCTGCTTTTGATAGGCAAAGACAGACAGGGTTAAACATAGGAAAAACGTTCATTAATGCCATAGGGGGTGGGCAGTGCCAAGTTTGGAAATGAGGCGCATTTCGTGTCTTTTGCGGCTATCGTTGCTACCAGAAATGGACAGAGGGCTCGAATTTTCATATCCGAAACACTGTGATTCAGTTAAGCCCAGATTAGACGAGAGAGTGCAGGAGAATTGGCAGTTACGCGACCTAACTTTATTTCTGTTTGTTACACTTTTCAGCTTCAGACCATCGTCGTTGAAGACACGTGTGTTCATGTGATGGAATTATATCAACAGGAGCAGACGCACGAAGGAGCTGGAGGGAATTCTGCTACCCAGGTCCTCCGACAAGAAGAGGAAATCTCTTATCAAAAGAAAGCTGAGCAGTTGCTAAATGATGAGATCTGTTATAAATTTATTGTGGTAAGTGTTGAAACGGTTTCTCTGTTATTATTGTTCAATATATAAAAGAGCTCAGAGAAATTGAACGACCTAAAAATTTCCACTTCTCATAACTGCAGCACAAAGACAAGACTATTATCACGATCAGTATTGAATTGATTGATACAGAAGACGCTCATACAGAAGACATGATGGCAATAGAGGTACGTGAATGATTCTGTTTATTTCATAATAATACACATATACACCAGCTTTATACAGAAATATACTACACCGAAACGTTTTGGTAATTTGTATTCATTTTCGTTCCTGTTTGTAGAAGTGGAATGATTATGTGGACAAATTTGTTTCGGATCAAGAGATCCCGCCAGAGGTCAAAGAACGCTTAAAGGTTAAACCTATATTTTTGCCACGAACGGCGAAGTATATTCGTTCTAAAACGGCAGCCGATAATGAACGATCTAGAATCGTTCGCGACGAACAAGGGAGAAGGTATACTATATTATTAAATTAACTCTATGAAAAGCACTATGACACCAGTGTAACATGGACAATTCCACAACGTACTATGCTGTAACGTCAAAACCACAAAATTAAATTCATGTTATTTGTGTTGTTTCAGTCCAACGGCGGGAGAAGGGGAGGAGACGTCTCCTGACATCGTCAACGAGGATGCTATGGAATTCAAAATCTCGTCTAATTCGTATAAACTGAAATTTGTTGGAGGTTCACGAAGTTTCTTTTACAGAAGACAGTCGTTGCCTAAAGCCAGACAGGTAAGTTGGGTGTCATATTATGAGCTTGATAAAATACTACGTTTATAGATAGTGGATAGCTTTATCAGACCAGTTATGGTCATGCCTTTGTCCATCTATTGCTATTGCAGGAGTGTCTAAACTATCTTAGTTTAAACTGGATAGGTATATTAGTTCTAACTGTTCTTCCTAGAGGTCCAGGAATTCCTAATTGGTGCAGTGTTATTACAGGAGGAAACCAACGCATATTTTATAGTTTGTACTTTGTCTTTGTCACTATTCAAAGTTTTCTTTCCATTCTAAATAGAGCTATCCGACCATCACTCGAAAACTATCAGAAAATTTCCAACGCTGGCTTGACGCTTGGGTGATGGAAAACGTATCACGTGATCAGAAAAGTACATGTGACCATTGGTTGGCGGGAAACACCGACGGTTTACGACAATGTACGACGATCAAGCAAACTGTGCGAGACCATATTAAAAGCTACACGAAGTACTTGGTGGAGTGGCCGGAGCCGGTATCTGCGACTGATACAGCTCAAGTGTGACCTGAATTGCATGTGTAAAAATAAAAGATATATAGACACTTCCAGAATTTGCTTGGGTGTGGAACGATTTCTTAAACTCTGAAACACAGCACCCTGAGTTAGGCCAAAAAAAATATGTGGGTTTCCGGTTTCTTCTTATAAAAACTTAGGTAGGGTAGGTCGGTTTTAACTTTTTTTTTAAACTTTTTTTTTAATTTTCGGAATAAGTGGACGCCATTTTGTTTAGTCAGTGCTTCCACATCCAAAGATAAATTTCCCTAATATTGCCTCAAATTTCAATTTTCCACAAACTTTTTCCTCTAAGTGGAAACACTTGCAAGCATGATCCAATAAAAAAGTTTGGGGTCGGGATTTCGACGTCGAAAAGCTAGGTAGGGTCGGGAAACCGGAAACCCACATATTTTTTTGCCTTAAGTCATAGCCACTCCCAGTCTCACATCATTGTCTCGTGTGCGCACAAGCAAAGTCAAGAAGTGTATATACTATTAATGTACAGTTTGTTTGCGTTAGCTATAGTGTAGTTTGCCTGCGAGATGTTAACTCAATTCTGTTTTATGAATTGTCATGCCGCTGTTATGTATATCACTTCATGGATAAAAAAACTTTACATCCAAGATTGTGTTTTGTGTTAGTTTGTTATTGTAACCGATGTCATACATGGACGCACTGTAATAGGTGGCTTTTCAGGAAAACAACCAAACAGCAAGTGGTTTACAAGCAAATTAAACTCTCGATTCTATTTGTTGACATCCTTTAAGTGCAAAGAACCTTTGAAATGTATTGTAACTTATTTTGAAGATTTTCGTTTGCACACTTTTTATTGATATGCAAATGTTTTATTCAGTTTTATTGATATGCAAATGTCCGGAATTTACGTCCCATACGAATAATGACTGATCAAAGAATACATTAAGGTAAACCCATTGAACTATAAATAAACTGGAAGGCTAACTCAGGGGGGGAAATTGAAGCCAGTGCATTTTAGTTTTTCTGAGTTATGAGCAGAAATACTCAACACTGAACGTTGGGCTATATATCAAATTGAAGCTATTGAAAAACTCTATTTGGTGTAAAAATTTCGAGACTTTAGCGAAAAGGGAAATATTGAAAAACTACAAACATAATTACCGATAATTTGCCGTTTTGCAGTTGTTTTTGTATTTTTTAAAGATTTTTCTTTTCGCTGAAGTCTTGAAATTTCCACACCGAATAGCAATTTTCAATAGCTTCAATTTGATATATAGCCCGACGTTTGGGGTCAAGTATTTCTGCTCATAACTCAGAAAAACTATTTTGGCTTCATCAAATCATAGGCCTTCATCATAGCAGTTAACCTTCCAGTTTATTTATAGTTCAATGGGTAAACCTTGTTCCTCGGCCTTTTCGCTTCCGCCTTACTATTTTAGGGTGGTATTTTGACAAGGTTTGCGGGTTGAGGGATTGTGTTCATCAACCTAATAGATGCAACCGACGGTACAACTTCCATTGCCGGAGATTCCTTGAAATATTCCTCGGAATTCCTCTCGTTCTTGCGTTGAACCAATCAGGATGCAGTATTCGAAATTTGATTTGAAACCATGTTCGTGTTTTGGTAAATAAAATTTAAAAATTTACCATTTTTAAAACGATTTTAAAAGAAACTAGGGAACGATATTGTGCTAAATGTCTACCATAAGTGAAGAATCCTCTGTGCCTGAGCTACCAGCAGAGTCTGCCGGCAGTTCGGTGTCAACTTCGTTGCAAAAGGAGTACGAAGATTTACTTCGCTATGCCGTGGTCACCCCTAAAGTCATAGTTCCACAGATGCAAAAACCAAGAAATAAACTACGTGAATATACCACATCCACTGAAACAAGTGGTGAATCTTATGAACAAGATAGTAGGGATATGCAACAAGAGGTTACAGGTTTGCCAAGTACGCCAAAAATGCCTGATACAGCTCCATATAAAAGTCGTGGGATGATGATACAAGGAAAAGGATCTGATCAGAGATCAGATGGTTTGTAATATATCAGTTGATGCATTGTATTGTAGATTTCTTATACTATAAATAGAGTTGCACTAGATTGCCAGGGTTTTTCTTAACATGTGAGATAATTAGGGCTTCAACATGTAAGATAACATGGGCTGTGGCAATCAATGTTTAATTATTTATATATACATCAGAATAAAATAATAAAGTAGAGCTCATCAGGGTACATTGCCACTTAAAGGGTTAACAGGATGCATGGGCAGATTTCCAAAGTCCTTTCCAGACCCTTCTATGGCGCACTTCACTTCCTCCTTCGTCGCTTGGGTCGCGCACGCTCCCTCCCCCGCGCCCTCCCTCCCCCATGGTTGACTTGTGGCAAGTCTAGGGCAGACAGTGTGATTAAACTGGACTTGAGATCATGCAAACCGATAAATGCAATAGTTGAATACAATATTGGCCATGTTTATATAACTCCTGGATGTTGCAAACTTAACTCTGTAGAGAACTCTCCTGAAGCCAAGGAAACGGATGACTCATTCATGTCAAGTCAGTCGGCAACACCAGACCACAGTATGGACAGTCTAAGAGTGATTTCACCAGCTGTTGATGCTGATCTTGTAAGAATGGGATCGCAACTGGACTCGTGGTGTTTGGATATGAAAAGAAATATTCTTGTTAGTCCTTATTTGATAATTTAATAAACATACTAATTGCTATATAATTTATTATATTTTTACTCCATATTGACTTTATTTTATTAACTTATTTTATAAGTTAGCAGCCATTATAAATAATACAGTATATATATATTGTGTACTGTCTATCAGCAGAGGCATTACAAATGGGGGTGAAGGGTAAGGTAATGGTGCATGTAAATTGAACCTGCACACTCATTTTGCTTCAATTTCTTAACAATTTTGATAAATCAGCATTGAGCACACCTCAACCATGTCAAACCACATGATTTTGTCAGCAAAAGTAAGGCCTGCACCCCCCACCCACCCCAATTGTGACATACTTGCTCTGCCCCTGTCTATCAGTATCACTAGGGATCATCAGTTAGTCTTTGAGAATACAGTAACAGGTGGGAGTACACCACTGTGTATTTTCATAGGGTGCAGGGGGTGTGCACTCCCCCAAAAACCCAAACTATTTTGCACCCCTCAGTTAAGGGTAATACCCTTTTTATCAGTAAAAAGGGTGTCACCCACCGCTCCCCCCTCCACTTGAGGACCACCACTACCTGGCAACCTCACTCTCTTGAATCAAAGTGTAAAGCTATTTGCTGACAAGGCTTCTGGGCTAAGGAAGGATTTCTGAAGGAATATAAATCACACATGCTGTATTTATGATTTATAATTTTTAAGGCTGAGTTTGCTCAATGTAAGATGGCACTTCTGGAACGTCAAAAGCAAGCATTCAGAACAGAGAAACAGAGGTACATTTTCCATTGTATTTTTTTCTCTTATCTCTTGCTTGCAAATGTTATGGTAAATGATTCCCCAAGGTCTCCTTGTAACTTATTCCAATTTGCCTCTGGATAAGTTAGAAGGAATCCTCAGTGAAAATTTTTTTTTCAGTACGGACTTCCCAGCTAGTAAATAACATATTACATATATGTATATATGCATGGTTCATGTACAAACTACAAAATAATAAAATATGGGATATCTTGTTGGTAGGGCTTGAACAGTTGCATGGTAGGGCTTGAACAGTCTTACTGAAAATATGAATTCATATTTGAGCGCCATTCCCTGTCTTTCCAATGCAGGCATGCAGCCGAGATGAACAAAAAACAAAATGACATTGAAAGTCTGAAGGAGTTGTTGTACACTTACGAGAAAACAATGGAACACAAGGATAATATTATCACTAACATGACTAAAGCCATTCAAAAACAGGTGATGTTGTTTGCAAGGTGCAAATTAAAATTTGCGTACTTACGTACTGAAGGGACGTCCATAATATGGTCAGGTACCTCTTAGTTTTCAACCAAGCAGGACTCAAAATAACGGGAGATAGGTCTCCGGTTAAAATGACCGGTCAACTTGATTTTAGCTCAGTCAAAATCTGTTTTTGATCGGTCATTGATATGCTTACACTAACAGTGAAACAAAGTATTAGAAACTTGTTTCGATACATCATAATTTCATGTTTTAATTCAAGACATCAGCTATCACATTGGAAGGCATGAAAATGTGGCCGGTCAAAATGACCGGTGAGGTAAAAAAGTGACCGGTCAAGAGGCATTTTTGGCCCGTCATTGTCCGTTGACGGGCCGTTATTTTGAGCCTTGACCAAGTACGTACCACGTAGGTATGCAGGCTACTGGATGGATACCATGATTTAGAAAGCTGTGACTACATGATCATCCATAGTTTGCCCAGATGGGTCTCTCTGCGTATTAGCCATCATTTAAATGTTCTCTATAAATATTATAGAAGGAGAGATTTGATTTGCTACGAAGATTCAACACTTGGAAAATTAAACATGTGGATGAGAAAAAAGAGGTTGGGGAAAACTTGAACGCAGAATTTAAGAGTTGAATAAGAAAACGTTGGACTCGGGCTTATAAAAATATTTGATTCCATTCAATAAAGGGATTTGGTACTAATCTTGCGAGGAAACATCATAACCATGTACTCAAGTGTAAAATCTGGAGTTCTTGGCGTTCTCTCGTTGAAACAAGATGGAAACAAAAAGTTGAGAAAGCTTGTCAGGTATAACATTATACCTGATTTGGTCATAATGTAAAATCTGTCAAAGAAGTGGAAGAACAATGCTCTTTAATTATTTTTACTGAAAACTAAGACAATGAAAGTGTATGAATTGTGTTTTAGTCAAAAGCGCAAGATGTCTGTGTCAAATTGACAGATGAATACGAGGCCAAGCTTCTGGAGGTAACACACTTTTCCTGATCTCCCCTAGGTTTTCTTCGGGTACTTCCGTTTCCCCCTCTGGTAACACTGGACCTAGAAGGGGTGGTAGTTACTGGACCTCTAGGAAAAACAGTTTAGAACTAATAGAGGTATCCAGTATATATATTGTTAGTTCAATTTTGATTTTTCAGATAAGTTCCTGCAGTAACACTTAAGGGGTTGTTGCCCTTGCTGGAATTCTAGGGAGAACAGTTTAGAAATTGACAGAACTATCCTGTAACTAATAAAGTTAGTTATATCAATAGTAAAGTAAGAAAGTTCGAGTTTCTCATTTCTGTCGTGCCAGGCCAACAAAGCTCTGGACGCTGCGAGACTTGAAGTGACAAAGTTGCACGCTGAGCGAGAAATCTACGAAGAAACTATGAAGAAAGCGTTTATGCGAGGAGTCTGTGCTCTTAATCTCGAGGCGATGCATATGTTTCGAGAGCCTGGGGACGAGGATGGACCTGGCGAGTCACGTGACCCTAGGGGGGATGCAGGTGGATCGAGTGATTCAGGTAGGATCGCCGAGACATAAATGAAATTTCCCATGAACACTAAAAGCACACACAATTTGGCGAATAGATGATTCCGGTTGCAGACTGAATTTTGATCTAGGCAAGAAGAACAAAATCCATCACCACAGCTAGAAAGAGCATGTTCAAATTAGTAAAATTGCGGCCCAAATGTGGTACATTTTCCCGTGCGTAATACAAATTAATACACAATCCGCGAGGCTGTATTTTCCGCATTTTACAATATTTCGCTGCCAAACTTTGCAATTTTTCTAATTTTATCTTGCTCTTTCTAGCTGTGGTGAGGGATTTTGTTCTTCTTGCCGAGATCAAAATTTAGTCTAGAGCTGGAGTCATCTAGTGACTGAATATATACGAACGTTCAAAAGTCTTACTAAAGCCGTTTTATGTCGACAATGCAATGACTAGTTTTTGTTTTGAATAGAAACCTGACTTTGCCAATCTTCTCTTATGTTGATTTAAAAATGTTTCAATGTATTTCTAGGAAATGAAATGAACCCGCGTTCTCAACCCCCCAGGCCAACCACGTCAGCAGGCATCTTTCCCAACACCCGTGTTCCACACACGACGGGCAAAACCTTGAGTCTGCCTACTGCTACGGCTGGGCAGCCTGCTCGGACCATTAATGTGAAGGCGGTGGGCCGTGCTGATTTCCGATCTGGCGGGAAAACAACGACAGCAGGTAAATATTGCAACACTGAAGCCTAAACTGACAGATTATGAGTGACGCAGATGAAAGGTACCATGCAGACAATGAGATCTATATATCTGGAGCGACAACTTCAGTCATTCGGCCTATGAGAGAAATGAAATTGATCAACGTCCGATAGCTATGAAGGTCGTAAAACGTAAACAGTTTTAATGTTATGTTTGTGATGTTACTCTGAGTGTATATCCACACCGGGCGAGCTTGAAAAATATGCCCGGCCACGGTGGGAATCGAACCTACAACCTTTGGAATACTAGCCCAATGCTCTGCCAACTGAGCTATGCGGTCAGGTTGGTTCGAGTATGTGATATTTCGGAACAGAATCTAGTTCCTTCGATACCAATGTAATCTAGTAATATAGTTGGCAGAGCATTGGGCTGGTATTCCAAAGGTCGTAGCCGTACGTTCGATTCCCACCGTGGCCAGGCATATTTTTCAAGCTCGCCCGGTGTGGATATACACTCAGAGTAACATCACAAACATCATATTCACCTGAGTACACAACATCAACACGGCAAAAATCAGTTTTAATATTCTTTAAATCGATGTCAAAATACGAAATTGCGGCACACTCCTTGCCAGCTTAGCATTAACCGCGCAGTCAAAAACTATAGAAAGGGACTGGAACTGACGTCCACTAGCTCTTCAATTCCCGCCATCTTCGCTTCGCTTTTTCAACTCGAGTTCTCACTCCAGATATACATAGAGCTCATCGTTCCACCAACACATTTTGCTTCTCTAGGTCCAGGCCCACCAGGTGCGAGCACGGTCAGTTCAGTTCTGGTTCAAAGACATTCTGGTGCTGATGCCGTACAGTCCAAACCTATCCATAACACCCAACCATCACAGAATGCTGGCAAGACAACGAGAGCCAAGGCTGGACCGTCAACAGTAAGAATTAACCATGCTCCCCCTGTCAAAGTTGTACATTAACTTAAAGAAAAATGACCGGACGTTACATATATCTAAGGCTTAAAGGCCCATACCCTGATTCCAGAGGTTCTTGTTGCGGAAGATATGAGAACCTCTGGGAACCGGGGTAAAAGGCCCATTTCCACTGAGGAAAATTTTGTAAAATGTGATTGGCCAACACACATTTCACGTCAGTTAAGTTGAAAATTTTCATCTTTTATTTCATTAAGGCGGTTTTCCACCAGGCGAAATTTTTCGACCGAATCGAAATTTTCTTTTGTCTTATGGCGGTTTTCCACTAAGCGAAATTTTTCGATCGAACCGAAATTTCTATTGTTCAAATTCAAAAGATTTCTGTTTAGTTCCATCTGAGTGCTTGTAACTTGTAAGACAAAAGAAAATTTCGATTCGGTCGAAAAATTCCGCCTAGTGGAATACCGCCTTAACAAGCACTGAGATGGAACTAAACAGAAATCTTTTGAATTTGAACAATAGAAATTTGGGTTCGATCGAACAATTTCGCCTAGTGGAAAACCGCCTTTAAGGCCCATTTCCACTCAGGAAAATTTTCCGCAGAAAGAAAATTTTGTACAATGTGATTGGTCGACACAAATTTTACGTCGGAAAAAATTTTGAAGTTGAAAATTTTCAACTTTTAACAATGATATTTTCGGAACATTTTCTGTCCATGGAAAATTTTCTTGGGTGGAAATGGGCCTTTAAGCTTGTTGTCAACAAGGAGATTTTCATGCGAATTGACCTTTGCCACCAATGAAGCATGGAAAAGGCATTTCGCATGAGAAAATATCGCAAGTGGAAAACAGGCTGAAAGTCTGAGTCTCGTGTCTGATACTCTGATATACTCATTAATTCAAAATTGTCATCCATGAAATATTACTTAACATTAAGTTCTGTGCAAATGAATTTTACTCTACAGTCTCTAGTTTATTAAATTATTCTTTATACGATGTTTTAACTCGATTGAGCAAGGGCAGAGCTTGTTGAAATTGAAGTTTTTAGAAACTGCTGGCGGAGAAGTTGTTTATCTTTCCCGACCTGACCATTGACAGGTAAGACACCATTTTGGTTATGACGTCATTCATCTATTGTGAGCCACCGATCAGTCACTAAAAACCATACACCACAGGTATGTCTGACAATTCATAAGTATGTCTGACAATTCAAACTGTCCAGTGGAAAGGTTTTAGTTGTCCTCCTGTAGTAACACTGGATCAATAAGGGATGAACCTCTAGGGAGAACAGTTTAGAACTGATAGAGTAATCCAGTATATAAATAAAGTTAGTTTAATTTAGGTTTCTGCTCTAGTAAAACTGGATTAATAAGGAAAGACCTTTACTAGACCTCTAGGAGGGTCTCTACTTTTATTATCGCCCAAAGAAATTTAGTCCTATGCACACTCTCAACGTTTTAAACTTTATGTTGTTATTGGTTCATTTTTAGCCAATCAGAGACCTCTGGCACCAGAGAGGCGCGCCAAAATCTGATGCGTGACCTCACAGCAACCGGCCAATCGGGTAACAGTATGTGATCTGGTGCTCATCAGGGCGAAAAAATCTCGAGCGAAAATATCGCATAAAACTAAAAGATGGCTTCAAAAGTCAGATACAAATTAAGTGGAATATTATGGATAACGACATTATTTTGTATTGTAGTTATTGTTCAAAGTCGACCGCAAACCGGTACGTTGTTTGTTATAGTAGATAGTCTTAAATTATGATTTTAAAAAAGTTTCAACTTTCCTGTTTGATCTCCTCAACAGGTACTTATCAAGCCTTCGTGAACTTCGCCCGTTTTAAAGTTTTCTTTTATTTCTTGGCAACTATTTCAATAATGTTCGACCTAGTTTTATTTCTCAGTTGTTTCTCCCATGAAGTTGATGTTTGATGTGAACTGAAGTTTGTTTATTACGCGCGTCAGACGCGAAGAGAAACGAGAAGAGTTTTAAGTAGTTTTGGCTTGTGAGTCAACGAGGCGTGACTGATCTTGCTTCCCTGCATGCCGGCAAATGCGGTTATTTATTTCGATCGTATTTTAACTCTTCTGCGGAGTAGAATCAATAGGAATGTGTGTTATAGATAGAGTGTAATGACCATTAAACTGTATAGGAAGTGAAATTATCTTGTGCCGCGTTGCGAGATAGGAAAGCGTTAAGATCGATTAATTATTTCTTTTCGTGAGTATATGAAGACTTCACCAAAAGACTTTAATTAAATTAAGTATATTGCATATTATATTGCTATAATATGCGTCATTTTAGCAGCAAATTTGTAAGAATTCTGAGCATTATTTCGCAAATTTTCTCATTTTTGATTAATTTGAAATTTACATATGCTTGTCATTGAATATTGTTTATTGCCTATGATTCAGTAACTATTATTGGTTCTTGAGTTTTTAATTTTAAAATTTACAAGCTATATATGCTATTTTGGGTTTTATTTTCTGCTTTCCCGACTTCATGTGAATCAGTTCTTACTTTTATAATTTGATTCTCTTTTGATCAACAGTATTAACTTATTCCATGGTTCTATACGCTAAGGATCATTTCACAAAAGAATTAACTTTATGATAAAGCGATTGTTTTACGACATTTTGTTGTTCTTCACTTCAGAAACTAGTTTTATTGCCGAGAGTGGTTTAGATCCATCAGATCGAACTTTGATTCGCGTGTTGAGATCGGAGTTCGACGACGAAGAGAAAGGTCAGACGACTTTAAAAGCAAGAAAAACTAGGAAAGGTAAACTGACATCACTCCATTATATATACATGAATTTGTGGTTAAAGCTGGACAACTGTCTCGCTGTAACTCAGTTGGTTAGAGCGCTGCACCGGAATCGCAGAGCCGTAGATTCGATTCTTGCCAGAGGGCCTATATAAATTTGTGTTAGAAAATTCCATCTACAAGAAAGCCACCTACTACTATAAGTTCTATCGAACGAGATGCCCCAAAAATCTCGAAATTAATAAACTGCCGGTTTTTTGCGTCTAAACAACATGAAAAGGATTAAAATACAACACGAATGCTTTTCACCTGGAAGTTAATAGACTAGCCTCTTCAAGAGAATCATTCGAGCACACAACGCGGAAGTGTTAATTGAATCTTGTTCAGGTATAGTTCAGACACAAACCGCGGCGACGTATATTGTAGAAAACTCGAACGGTCGCGGTGCCAATGTAAAGTAGAGCTGTGGTGTCAAGGATATTGAACTACTTGAATAATATAAGCAGATCTTGGTAGATGAATCTCCTTCGCACCGTAGCTGTCTATTGTGGAAAACTACCTAAACTTTACACAACTGGTGGACTTGAAAAAGATAAAAAAACACTACAAGCAACACCTTTCGTCTGGAGAGTTAGTATAGGAGGATATAGTTAAACATGCTGCCCTTGTAGAAAAGCTATCAGAAGCTAACTACTTTTATCTTCTTGTATGTTTAGTCGAGCGACATTTCCCTCCTCTGAAGAAGCGTGCTTCTGAAGAAGAAGGTTCGTTACATTATTACGACATTATCCTGTTATGTTACAGTATAGATAATCACTTCACTACATATCAGAATGGCACATCAGAGAGGCTTTATTTTGCGTAAGATCGAACGAATGCAGCCCGTTCAACTTAAAATTCCCATGTATTCCATATTAAACTTTTTGGTTTTAGAAACGACATAAGTGCTACAGTTTTTAAAATTTAGTGATAAAAGTCTATGTCAGCAAAACAAAATACTTATTTCTTTCCCCAATTTTAGATCAGTTCTTCCAGGCGCTTCTCTCCCGTGCACAAGATAAGCCTGTAGGTATGTGACGGTGTGATTCTTGACTCGTAAATTCTTTCTCTTTTAAACTTCCTTCTTTTATTCAAATTGTTCTTCTTTTCGTTATAGAGAAAAGATCGTACGAAGCTCAGCCTGAAAAAGGTATAATAACAGTAGTTTGTGTGTGGTACCATTGGTTAAGTACCAATAAATTAAACTTACTGTAGTTCCAACCATTTCGTGAACATACTTCAATGTTGTATATTATTGAATCGTTATAGATGATGTTGGAATGAACTGGAAGGGTGATTCCAAAATCTCTGATGCTGACAAGAAAGGTAAGAAAAACCAGCCCCATACGCCATTCTCTGATTAAGCCATCGGAAATACATGTACAAGATTGTCTAGAACTATGTAATAGAGTAAAGACTGTTTCACATTATCAAAGTTTCTGTGATCACAGTAGAAATTTTATATTAGGCAAATTCGACCCTTTTGAAGGATTTGTAAGAAATGTTTGAGGGAATTGAGTCAGTGTTAAACACTCGGTTCTCTCACACATTTCGTACAAATCCTTCAAAACTTAGAATTTACCTAATGTAAATTCCTACTGTGAGAATCAAATTATCTATCGAAACCCCGACCCTGAACACAACCGATCCTGAAAACACAGAATAAAAAACACTTTGAGGTTGCCCGATGCACGGAAATGGCCTTTATAAAGCTTTCCAACCAGCACACTCAACAATTATCATTTTGATATTCTGTTCAGAACTGGAGCATCTTTTCAACAGCATTGGAATGGTGGAAGATGAGAAGAAATCAAAAGGCAAAATGGAGGCCAAACGGTCCACAGTAAGTTTGAGAGAATTTATCCAAAGAATGCTCTTACTTACAACGCTATAATCTTTATCTATCTTTCTCTTGCAGGGAAACGATGGCAAAGTGCAAGATTTAGTGGAATGGTTGATGTCAAAACCGGTCAGTACCCAGCTATATCATAGATTGAGTGAAAGTACATTGCTGATTGAATATTAAAGTTGACCTTTTGTTTATAATATAATATTTATTTCACGTTTTTTCTTCCAATAGCCAAAGGAGTTTCACGATTCTCTTCGTCATATAATTGATATCGAACATCAAATCTCGGACATATTTGGTAAGGCTGGCCAATGTCATGTTTTAATGTTGAACATTATTGACAAATATTGTCAAGTCGTAATGTTGTGAGATGATATTTACTGTGTGTTTTTTCAAACATCTGTAAAGTTGGTCTAAGACTCAACAGACAATGTGATGTAAATTTATAATTTTGATATTTTACATTATGTCAGGTGCTGATGACGCGAGTGCGAGAACTACAACTTCGGAGACTGTCGCCACCGATCCTAGTACGACCACCACCGAGACATCTTCGGAGACTGTTCCATCATCCATCGTGACTACTGCCACGTCAACTGACCCGGCCTCAGTCTCCCCGCCCGTGTCTGGCCAGACCACAGCATCGAGTCCTGTCGTGGGTAGCTTTGCATCTGTGCCCGGTCAGGTGTCTTCGCCTGCTGTTCTCGGCGTAGCACAACCCGCAGGTGTATCACAGCCCGCAGTTGTATCACAGCCTGCAGTTTTAGGTGTAGCACAACCCGCAGTTGTTTCCCAACCTGCAATTTCAGGGGTTGCCCAACCTGCGCAATCAGGTGGTGCGCGACCTTTGGCTAACGATATGCCTAGTGGTAAATCTTCAGCACAAAATGCTCCCCAAACCCCCAGAAAGAAACCGAATCTTTATGCTGAAGTAATGAAAGCTTCTAAAAACCTTGCTGAAACTGGACCAGGTCCTATTCCCATTGAAGCGATGAACTATTTCAACAAGTTTGGGGGCGCGGGAAATATTTCTCCGATGACATCAATGGGAGCCGGTGTTCCAGTTGCTCAACAAGCGCCTGCAGTACAGCCTCAACAAGTACCAGCGGTATCGCAACCTATGGCACCAAACGTACAACAGTATAACCAGCAGCAGCAACAACGACAACAGCAACAACAATTACGACGACAACAACTGCAGCAGCAGCAACGACAACAGCAACAACAGCAGCGGCAACGACAGCAACAACGACAACAGCAGCAACAGTATGCCCAGCAACAAGTTGCAAACCAATTCCAACAAGATCAAAGACAAAATAATCCTTACTATAATCAAATGTACAGACAACCAAGACCCTATGTAAGCCGTAATGGCAACTATCATCCACCTGCGCCAAGACCTTATCCTCTGCATCAAGATGAACTCGATAAATCAACAGGTATGCATGTCATCACCACGCCATGTGCCTTTCATGAGACCAGGGCTTGATTCCTTCAATATGCAGTTCAAATAGTGAACATTTAGTACTGATAGAGCTATCCAATATAAATAAAGTTAGTTTAGTTTAGTTTAGATTTACTCCTGTAGTAACACTGGATCAATAAGAAATGATCCTTGCTGGACCTCTAGGGAGAACAGTTTAGAACTGATAGAGCTATCCAGTATAAATAAAGTTAGACAGTTTAGTTTAGGTTTCCTCCTGTAGTAACACTGGATCAATAAGAGATGATCTTTGCTGGACTTCTAAGAAGAACAGTTTAGAACTGATAGAGCTATCCAGTATAAATAAAGCTAGTTTAGTTTAGATTTACTCCTGTAGTGACACTGGATCAATAAGAAATGATCCTTACTGGACCTCTAGGAAGAACAGTTTAGAACTGATAGCGCTATCCAGTATAAATAAAGTTAGACAGTTTAGTTTAGGTTTCCTCCTGTAGTAACACTGGATCAATAAGATATGATCCTATTTTGAACAGTTTAGAACTGATAGAGCTATATATGCAGCATCAATAAAGTTAGTTTAGGTTTCCTCACGCAAATACACTGAACCAGTTAAGGATGACCCATAGAGTGAACAGTTGTCTAAAGTGAACAGTTTATAACTGATAGAGCTGACATTGCCTCAAGACTATATGTATGTTTTCGTTTCAGGCAAGAAAAAATCTGTCACAGTTTCCCTGCTTTTCAAACAAAGTTGGTCGGCCGATTTCGAAAAGAGGAAATCAACCCGCTTCAGAGTGTTCAGGACAGAAGCAAAACGAGAAGTAAGCAGATTTCATTCCTTCCTTCTTTCTTTCTTTCGTTCTCGCTTTCTCAGAGGTTTGTTCACTCCCTTGATTGGCGTATTGTTAAGAAAAACAATGATTTCTTTTCTTGTAGTTGAATCGTGTCTTTGAAACGAAGAAAAATTTCGACAGCGTCTCTATTGACAAGATCAGGTAATTCAAGGTAACATACATTTTAGCTATAAATGTTCTGTTTGTAATTGTTGTTTTTGTTATATCTTTCCCAGAGAGGATAGAGGCAAGGTTGATGTGAGGTTCACAATTAAATTCAAGGAGAATACAAAATATCCTCTTAAACCGTTATATGAACAGATAGCGAAGGACTACTTGGGAAATATGCCCGTTTTCAGGGACACATTGGTCAGAGGAGGTACAATATTGGGAGTTCTTTTCTGCTTCATGTTTTTTATTTCATGTGTTCACCGTCCATCCTTTATCGGTTCTATTGGACCGTTATAGATGGGAGTAATGACGACAGTCTCGGGCGACAGCCCTTCTTATTTGAAAATTGAAATCACGAACATAAAACTGCATTAACGGCCGTTGTTGATTTCAAGGAAGATCTGCTGACGCCATCACTCGCCATCAATAACGGCTCGATTGACTTCCGGTTGAATATATATCTTTTTCCCTCAGAGAAACCTGGCCCCAGAATGGCTCCAGTGAGAACTGCGACCAAGATGGAGAAATCGCAGTCGGAAAATCCCGCCTCGGAGTTTGCGCAGTTTGCCGATCAAGTGGATCGTGAGATGACGGGAGAAAATCTGCCTTTGACGGAAAAACATGAAGGTATACCGCTTTATTATAGAGAGGTCCAGATTAAGAAATATTTCCAAAGTTATAAACATGCTGTTGGAAAGACTGCTTTGAATAGGCAATTCCAGCTATAGATTAAATTTTGATCTAGGCAAGAAGAACAAAATCCATCACCACAGCTAGAAAGAGCATGTTAAAATTAGTAAAATTGCAAAGTTTGGTTGCGACATTTTGTAAAATGAGGAAAATATAGCCCTGCGAAGTTCCCAAATTTTGTATAGATTTGTATTACGCGCGGTAAAAATAACAACTTTCGGCTCAAAAATGGTTATTTTTCACGCGCGTAATACAAATATATACAAAATTTGCGAACTTCACAGGGCTATATTTTCCTCATTTTACAACATTTCGCAACCAAACTTTGCAATTTTACTAATTTGAACATGCTCTTTCTAGCTGTGGTGATGGATTTTGTTCTTCTTGCCTAGATTAAAATTTAGTCTATAGCTGCATGGAATTGCCTATTTTAGGTTAACCTATAGGGTTAAGCAAGGGTTAAGCTGATCAGTATTCAAACAACTGGCCCCTTATTTCTTGGCCCCTTAACTTTGTACTCATTTTCCATTACTTACCAGCTTACCAAGGCTGTTACAAGGACAGGAAACCACACCGTGACATGAAGAAACATTTCTCGAAGTTTGAGATGACACCTGAGTGGTGTCTGCACACGTGTAAGAAAGAAGGCTATCGCTTTGCTGGTGTTCAGTACTCGTATCTGTGTTTCTGTGGAAACAAATTCGGCAAGTATGGCCGGGTACCAGACTCAGAATGTAGCAGCCGTTGCTATGGCGATAAGAATCGCTTCTGTGGATCATTCTGGCATAACTCTATCTACTCAGTTGGTATGTTCTTTGTGATTTGAAAGTTAGGAATTCTACTATACAGACATTTCGAAATTGCATATATTGTTTAGATGGTCAACATCATGATCTTGACGAGTTCTCGGCGCTACAAGACGACGATGATGAAGATGACGATGATGAACGTGATAATAAAAAACACGAAGACAAGGGCAAGAAAGATGGGAAATCTGAAAAAGATGATGAAAAAGAACATGGTATGGAAATCTGTTTATCCATATCAGTTTAAGTTAAGAATTTTGTCAAACTTAACTTGGTTTGTATTTCGATTTTGCTTAGCTGAAGTTGCAAATCATTTGATGAAAGCCGCTTCATCGGCACTAAAAGGTAAGTTTGATCCGATTTTTAGTTTCTGTTTTCTCAGTACATATATGGATGTGTTCAAGTACCGAATCAATGTTTTGTTTTCTTTCCCAACAGCTGCCAAGAAGTTGTTACCTTCAGGTAAGGCATATCTTTATATAAAACTAGTTGAACACGGCAAGTTGGGTCGTATCAAACCAGCTCTTTATTTTTTCTTTGTTTTGTTCACAGGAAAGGATAAGCGAGAAATTAGTTCGGAAGACCTCGCCAAAGACAAAGCAGATGCCCAGAAAGCTCTCAAAGGTAACAATGGACGACAAACAGTATAAATATCGGCTACGTTTACATTGTACCGGATACCTTATAATACACCAATCCGTACATTTTTGGAACGCTATTTTCAGAGGAATTATTGCAACGGAGAGATGTTGTTTCGCTCAGCTTCTGAAAGTTGTACACTCCGTATCGGATAGGTGCTTTTTCGCGCCGCTACGGAAAGCTATCTGGTATAGTATAAACGTAGTCATAGTCGAACTGGAAGAACTCACGGAGGTGAAGTTATAATCGTCTGTAAGACGATTCAAACCTCGGACGTAGAGCTGTCAGAGGCATGTGCACTGTTCACTGTGGCGTAAACACGTTTTATTTATTCATCTCATAACTTCTTTCCAGCCGTAGACGAGATAGTGGAGGACAAGAACAACGTGGATAAAAGATCTGCGGAGGAAGGCGATGGTCGAAATCTCCTCATGGCTTATCTTGGTAATGTTGGCGGATACGACAGAGAGTACAGATCAGTGGAGGATGAGAATAAACCAGGTATGACCCATGAGCAAATGCCGTGGTCCGGGTACTATCATTCATTAAGGGGTCCAGACTCAATATTCAGGAATGGAATAGACATAATAGTATAATTAGCGCCATAGAAATATATATAAGTTACACATTAGGGCCATTTATACGGAACAAAATAAGACGCGACTTACATAAGACGCGACTTAAGTAAGACGCGAGTTTGTGGTATAAAAGGTACAAAATTCTTATGTAAGACGCGTCTTGGATAAGACGCGTCTTACATAAGAACAGGTCTTTTAGCTGTTCTTATTTAAGTCGCGTCTTAAATAAGAAATTTTGAACAAAAAGTCTAACTACACATGCCAGAAACTTGAAACAACGTAAAATTTAATGCCTTGCATATTAAAACAAAAACAACCAAAACAACATTATAGCTATAGCAAATAAATAAGACCAAAGCCGTAGAGAACCATTTATGCGATAACTCCACGTATTTAAGTCGCGTCTTATGTAAGTCGCGACTTATTTTGTCACGTATAAATGGCCCTATTGTTCTAATTGTATTGTAACCGAAATGGCACAGGTTATCTGAATTAACCAAAGTTAAACTAATCAGATAACCTAGTAAATAATTTGAGCCACTCTGGGTCAACATTGAAATTTTATGCCGCAATTGACAGAAAATGGTAATAAAGATAGAGATTAGTAACAAAAGAATGTAAGTATATTGTTTTAAAAATAATATTAAATTGGTCAGTTCTGTTAGTTCAAGTTAGAATATATGAATACATGTTAAGGCTACAGGAAGTTTCTATACTTTCTTTGCAGTGGAAAAACTGAAGTTTGAATACAAACGGGAGATTATCGACGAGGAAGGCGACGGGGAGTTTGTGTCGAAACCACAAGACGGGAAAACGTTGAAGAGAAGTCGACGATCTTTGGAACCAGAAGATTTTGACGGCCGTAAGAAGATGGCGTTAAGAGCAATGGCGGACAGCAGTGATGCCACTAATCCAAAGATGGCTGTAGCCGAACCTTCACGGAGAGGTACGATGATGGCGAAGCTAGAGCCATGGCACAGAATAAGGCACACAGAAGGTCGACTCGAGTAACCGCTGCCACGCCATGATTCATCATCAAAATGCTGACGCAATGGTCCTAGCCAGTGCGCGTTTGAGAGGCATTCCCCCCCTGGACATCCGCCATTTTGAATATTATCAGGGGGGTGAATGCCTCTCAAACGCGCACTGGCTAGGACCATGGCGTCAGCATTTGATGACGAATTACGGGTTACGCCAAAATCATAGGAAAATCATAGGAAAAACCAAGAAGTCGGCCTTCTGTGTACCCTATTCTGTGACCATGGCAACTGGTCATGCTTTGCTAATAAACCTACATCATCAAAATAGGTTAAAGACTAGAAGTTACTATCGCAAGGAAAGTGCTGCGTCACTCCCAAGGGATCAAAGACAGCATGCACAATTTGCTGAATAAGGGGCTGTTTATATGATCCCGCTTTGGCAGGACGAGATTTGAGGCAGGATTATTTTGATGTATTGAAATAAGTCACAGTGCACGATTCAGCCAATCTCGTACTCAGAGCTAACGATGGTTCTGGGTACGAGATTGCGTGGATTCGGCAAAAAACTACACTATTTTCTAGAGATAGATTATACATAACTGTAAATGAAAGCAACCATGAATTTCTAATGGTTTGAATAATGCAGATCAAAATTTACATAGCATGACCTGTTGCTATATATGGCTAGGAGTGTAAATCCCTTATTTAAGACAACCAGACTAAAGCCCTGGGCAAACTAGGAAACATTGTTGCGGAAACATTGTTTCCTACCAATGTTTCGCCGTGTTTCCCAGAGTGGGCAAACACTAGGAAACATTAGTGAGAAACATAGGGAAACATCAAATGTTTTTGAATTCGCTAGGAAACATTTTTGCTTCTCGGGAAGCAAATTTTGTTGCCGCAACAATGTTTCCACGGGTGAGAAAACAGGGAAACATTTGAGGAAACATCGAGAATCACAAATGTTTCCGCAACAATGTTTCCTAGTTTGCCCAGGGCTTAAGTGTCACTCGGTTTTTGTAGAATTGCTAACCAGGGACATATCGGACAAGGAGGTGACAAGACATAGTCGTGACGCTGATGATGAAGAAGAGGAGGAAGACAAAGAAATGATGAGAACAAGAAAGTCAAGGAAGACTGAAAAGGTTTGCAGTATAGTTAAACACCATGTTACACAAGGATAACAGGATACAGGGCCATGTTCTCTAAAAAGTAGTCGCAGAGAAACGTGAGTGTGGCCCGAATTTTATTCTGCCGACACTTTCTTTACATACCATACTCTTAAGGGATGAAAAATGAAAAAAATTGGATGAAAAATGTCGGAGCTGAACTAACATAATTTTACTCTTTCTTGCAGCGAAGTGTTGGCTTTGACAAGAGCTTGTATCACAGCAAGGTTCAAGAAGGTGAATATATATTATATATATATATATATATATATATATATATATATATATATATATATATATATATATATATATATATATATATATATATATATATATAATATATATAATATATATAATATATAATATATAATATATAATATATAATATATAGTTATATGTAATTACTGTTCTTACTTAAAATATTTATAATTAAGGTTTTTAAAGACAAAAAACATTTTAAGTAGAGACAAAAAACATTTTAAGTAAAGAACAGTGATTACATTCGCTCTACTGAATTTTAAGTATTGAGCACTCTCTTTACTCTACGTTACAAAAGCTTGTGTTAACTTGTGTTTACAGGAATCGAGAACGTTATTGGTGGAGTTATTGACGTGATGAAGCAGTCGACATCTATTGGTTCATTCAAAGAAGATATCGAGAAACTCGCCACAGATGTTGCCAACGGTCTCGCAATCCCACCTGAACAGAAAGATCAAGTGACGAGCGAAATACGACAGGACATTAAAGAGACTGGCACTAGCAGCGTAAACAGTGAGTATTTTGTATTGTTTTCCGATAAAGGCTTTTCCAGTAATTATAGTACAAAAGATTACAAAATTAATTTAATTGGTGTCCCACGCCCCTGTAATTGGAAGCTCTCCCCCAGGAAACTCCGGTTTCGTGTCGTGCCAAGCATGAAACTATATCAACATGCCGGTCATAAAAATGTATCAACTAAATACATGTTTTTTAAAACTATTAACTTGTAATTACTGTGCGCGCAAGGAAATGATTAAGGCTAAAGAGTCATTAAAAACAAAACACAAAATTCAGGATGATTGACAAGACGATTACCAAAGTCATTGAGTATGGAATCGAGTCGAAGTGTCACCTTGAATTTGTATCTTGCTCTTCAACAGCATCATCGAGTTCACAAAATGATAATGTTTGGAGAATATTTTGCGTGACACAAATTTTCCTCAGTGGATTAACTAAACAAAGATGAAACGTGATCATAGCCTAGTTCTAAACTCACACACTAAAAACTAAACTATAAGTATAGATTAAAACTTCAACTAAATATAAATTAAAACTTCAACTAAATATAAATTAAAACTTAAACTTCTACTAATTTCTAGACCTCATAACCTCAGTTCGTACGGAACTAAACGAGTACGGCGAAATGCACCCGGCAGTTGGTCCCCAGGCTGACGAGGCTGCGCATACTTTCTCAGATTTACCGCTGGACGCAGGTAAAGCGGAGGAGATAAAGAAGAAGATTCGCAAACGTTCAGTTGACGCGAGCGACGAGGGAGACCAGTTTCTATCTGACATTCTTACAGAACATTTTAAACAGAACCCATAGAGATCAATCGTAGAAAGGACATGCGTGCACGCCTAAAGCATATTACCCTTTGCTGCTGCTATCGATATTAAGTTGTTAACCCATAGACTTTTATTTCATATCTATCTGACATTCTGAACGAACATTCTAAACGGTCTGTGTGGGTAGTACCATTGTTAAGAAATGGATGCAACTCCCTAAAAAATACGTCGGGATATTTCTTGGATGAACGGCATTCACTCAAAACGTCGAAGTTCTCCTTGTATTTTTCGGGTAGTTGTATCCCTATCAATCCAAAGCTTTCATTTAAACTTAACCAATAGAGATAATTTTTAAAATAAGCGTAGTGGGTAAAGGTTTAAAGAACTTCTGTTGACGTTTTGAAGCATTATTACTTCAGGGGACTGTGTTTAAAGTTTTAAAGTACATTAACTTTTGCTATCATAGATTTTAACCTTTTTACTTCTGTGTGAACTAATGCAACGGTCTGGAGTTGTACATTTGCACGATCGGCAACTTTAAGCCTCTTTGTCCGTCGTAAGAGATATCAAGTATAATAACATATAAAATTCAGTGCGTATAATGAGTTGCTTGTTAAAAATGTATATTTTTGTAATTTAACTTGAATTTAAAAACAAATGAGACATATGTTGAAGAAGTGAGTTGATCACAGTTAAATAAATCACGGTTGGCTCGGTAATAACGCTTGCGTGTAAATAACGGTTGGGTCGTTTATAAAGCTTCCCTTCGACCCAACCCTCCCCCATGACAAACTTATTAAATCAACATGTTTTGTACATTTCAATAAGAATGTAAACAAGTGCTAAAGAGTACGGATTCTTGTTGATACTCGGGGAAAATTGTAGCCTGCGAAAACAGCCGCTATAGTTTGATGCTCGTAACATGACGTTTAATTAAACGACCATCAAAGTAGCGCGGGCTGTTTTCGCAGACTAGAAAAATTGTGGCCTGTGGTAAGCTATATCTTATATTTACATTCGGTATAAGTTTGAATACTAAATTGGATGATCTCTATTACTGTATTCAAATATTTACATAAAATGTTTTGCAGCTGTCGTTAATTAAAGATCACAAACTTGTACAGTAAAATCCATTGTAATTGGGCATACATGTAATGTTACAATAAATCACATATACTGAAGGTTGAAATGGTCGGAATATAATTCAAAATAAACACTTTGAATGGCGGTAAACAAAGTACGAGAATTAGATATGTTATCTTAGAAACAGAAATCTGTATTTAAATCTGTGATAAGGTTCCATGCAGCAAAATCAAAAAAATAAATCATTTTTGCATAAACAGGATAGGTTGTACATGTTAATTCCGCAACCAGGAACTCCCTACCTCGTATTAATTTAGCCGTGTTCTGACATATTTGTACAAGTTCATTTGGATTTTTTTTCTTTTGACGCGATTAAAATACCGACCATTCATTGTATGCTGCCGTTTGAACTGAATTGGCAGCTATTTTAAACAGTATATCATATAATATATACTGTCTTGAGTTTGTGGCTGGATTTCTTCATTATATAGGTATGTCTGGTTGACATTGTAAAAGAAGTTACAGTTAATGGTTTTATGAGAAGAGTTATCTGGTGTTTGAAAACTTGCTGGTATGTTTGAGTGCTTCATTGAATCATTATTAATACTATCATGTTGTTCAATTCCATTTACACCATAATAGATCTTCTTGTTCCAAAACGAACAAGCAATCAAATTCATTAAAAACCTTGGATAATGCCATAATGATTCTTACATTTCTTACATTTTACAACTAAAATTTCTAGACGTATTGAAAGATTTCGTTCAAGATCTTTTTCTTAACTTTTTAATTTCTTGCTTTCAAAAGCCATTACCCAATAAGGCATGAATATTGTTCATAATTTATACCACCACCGACGCCAGAGTCTCGAGTACGAAAATATATTAATTTGATAGATATTTATAGAACTTTCGATATAATCTAAATGAAGCATTTGTAATTTCATTTCTATTTCAAGTAGCAAGGCCTTATCTTTTTGAAAATCTTTTAAAAACGTGATTTATTCATTTATCGAAAATAACAGGGTGACGCAAATGCGTTTTTATCACGTTAATGAAGAATGAAATCAATTCCAATCAAATATGTAATTTTCTCGTCTATTGCATTGTTATCACATCATCAACTTCAAGGCAGGAGAATCGTCTTGACAAAATAATAAAAAAAATTTGACTTGGATTTTATTTGGTTTTTTTAAAAATAATCTTGATATTCCTTTTGTTGATTTTTTCGGCATGTAGTAGTTATCATATTTTAATGTCCAGTGCGGATTGTCTTGAAAATTTGGTTTCCCATCGTAAATCATGCTGGCTTTCATTACACGATCATGGGCATGTCAGACTATGGGAAATCTTCAATCTGGCTAGTTTAGGACAATGAGACTTTAAAGGTATGTTAATTGAACACAATTGATGTAGGGCAAAAAATTGAGGCAAGAAAAATTGACCAACTCAACCTTTTTAATTTATTTCAAATTATTTCTTTATTTCCAAATGAAGTAAATACAAACGAATTAATTTCGTGATGTTTGTTATAGTTCGATGACTGATGCGTTGAACTTGGGTTTGGGCTGGCAAAGCATAATACACTAAGTGCATTGCTGTGAGGTAAAGGCTCTGTCACACTATTGCGTATCGTACTAGCGTATTCCAGCGTATGAAAAATATCACTCATACGCCCGTATACGCCGACATACGCTAAGGGTACGTTAGGCATACGTTGTATACGTTTCAAGCACGGTCGCGTACGGTGGCATACGTTGGCATACGGCGAGGCAGAAAATTTTTTTAAGCATGTTCAAAAATTTTGTGCGTATTGGACGTATGCTTTATACGATAAGCATACTCTAGGCACACGCTGAATACGCTAGAGGTACGCCAGATGTACGGTACTCATACGCTGGCATTTCAAAGGATGAAAATTATTGTGCGTATGAAAATTATACGTTTCTCTCATACGCAATAGTGTGACAGGGCCTTAAGGAAACCTGGGCCGACGATAGATGTAAATTGTCTCGTGATCTTTTTTATCTTAAACTATCGTAATTTTGCACGTTGTATTGTACCGCAAAACGCTTTCTTTATACCAAAAATAAAATATTCTGCAATGCCAAAAACGTTTTATCACAGAAAACAATATTTTTGCGTTTTTAATTAAAGAAAATGGTATTAGAGAGTTTTTTTATATTTTTGCTTACTGTTAGCCTATGTTCAAAGTATAATAATGCTATTAATGCACAAACAAATGGAGGGTCACTGCGCTTTTTTTCCAACTAGGCAAAGGAATGAGGGTATTTTATAGTGAATATCGTATGCCTGTGTTGTCAAACTTGTCATAGCAACGAACTATGTGTTACCAAAACTAACATAATTTGAAAGAAGAAACGTTAAAATATATGAACATTTCGATATCTGCTCCATAAAGATTAAAAATGCGATTGAAAACACTTCCGCGTGTCGAGCCCTGCAGACTATTGGTTGAGAAGTTATAGTTGCTGCATCTTATTAAGCATATAAATAAGTTCTATTAAAGTTGTACACATGACGAGTTTTCCTGATCCCATTAAACCACCCGAATTCATTTTCACGTCGATGTTAAACGAAATTAGCGAGCTTCATTTGTTGCGGATTTCTTCTAGAGTAGCGGTGGGTTAATTTGAACATTATTAGACGACAAGCCGAGATTGCGGGCGTTGTTAACTGTGATATTTGAACAGCGAAATAAACACTCGTATTTGAGTTATTGGTTTTATCACTGACAGTTGCAGTGCGGAGATCTCTGGATGACACGACGCATCAACGTATATAGCGTAAATAAGAGAGTTCTCTTGTAATGAATTTCACAATTCTGTTCTCTTTTATTCTGTATATTCTATATCATGCACTCTATACTATATTTTAATCATGCTCTTCTCTTTAATTTAGAAAACCGTTCCAATAAACAAATCGTTTGCACAGACGGCGTTCGGTTCCCGAAGAACCTGTAGAATACAATCAGGAACTGAAGAATAAGTAAGACTTTTGTACTTCGTACATGTTCTTTGCTTTTCATGTTCTACTCTTTGAAAGTATTTTATAATCTAAAGGCCACAGGTTTACACTATTAAAGTTTGTGTGATCACAGCAGGAATTTTGCATAGGTAAATTCGGATTTGTAAGGATTTGTAAGATGAAGGATTTGTTAGAGATGTTTGAAGGAAACTGACTAGGTTTTAAACACTGAGTAAGTTCCCTCAAACATTTCTTACAAATCCTTCAAAACGTAGAATTTACCTTTGCAAAATTCCTACTGTGATCAACAGAAACTTTGATAGTGTAAACCAGGCTTTACATCACAATACATGAATGGATAGATTTACTGGGTACAGGGGGTGTACACCCCTCCTATCCTTGGTAAAAGGATGCAAGGGGGGGGGGGATTTCTTTATCAAATCCACTTTTTTGATTTGGAAAGGCAATTACAAAAACAGAAATAAAATCGAGACGTATAATAAGATAGTAACATGATTGTGAAATTGTCAAGCAAGACTACAGACTATAGGGCCTTGTTGCTGCCCTACTTGGTCAACGGCACTGCGCTTTATATATATCTGGAGCACGAACTTCAGGCATTCGACCTATGAGAAAAGTGAAGCCAAGGTGGCGGCCATTGACGTCCAATAGCTCTGAAGGTCGTAAACAGCTTTTATACCATTTTTCCCCAGCTAAATCCAGTTTTTTCTAACAGACCGCATCGCTAACCAGGTTAACAGTGCATAAAACCATACTGTTGTTCTTTAAATCGAAGTCAAAATACGAAATTTCGGCACACGCCTTGGCAAGATGGCGGAAATTGAAGAGCTATTGGACATCAGTTCCAGTCCCTTTCTATTGGTTTTGTCTGCGCGGTTCACACGAAGCTGACTTCACTTTTTTTTAAGGTTTAAGGTTTAGAGTTTGAGGTTTGCAAAGGACAACCTTTTTTGAATTAGCTGTATATATATATATATATATATATATATATATATATATATATATATATATATATATATATATATATATATATATATATATATATATATATATATATAATATTAATGAGACCAAAGATGATCAAATTTTACAGTGTAGAAAGAGTGCTCAATTTCATTTAATAACGTAGAGCAAATAATTTAATTTCTTAACTTAAAATATAGTCACTATATTTTAAGTTAAGAAATTAAATTATATATATATATATATATATATATATATGTATATGTATATGTATATGTATATGTATATGTATATGTATATGTATATGTATATGTATATGTATATGTATATGTATATGTATACGTATATGTATATGTATGTATATATATATATATATATATATACCAGGATTTTGGGCATTAGTTGGTTGGAACGCTGCACCGGAATCGCAGGGCCTCAGCTGCCAGAGAGCCTATAGTTTCATTTTTTTCAACTGTGCATGTAACAATAAATGTATCAAATTTACATTCGAAATTTCCATAATATTTATACGGCAATTTTTTGTAGCCGCGCCTACCTGTAAAACATAAATGTGTGAACCTTTTATCCAGTGAACAATAAGCAAGATTAATAAATCAATCGCACATTGTTGAATTTAGAAAGAAAATTAACATTATAGGAAAGGATGATTATTTTGTAACGAAGTAATCAGTCCCAATATATTGTTTTAAAAAACCTAAACAATCGTATTTTCTGAATCGTTTTCTTCCACCCGCTTTGAACTTTGGGTAGCAGCTGCCTCTTACACAGGCAATGTCAGGCGAATATAAAGTACTACTACTACCTTAGATGGGCGAAGCGTCAAGGGGTTGTTGGGATGAGTATACGTGAACGGGCGACCTCTAGCCCAGAAGGATTTGGAACTTCACATGCACGGCGGGGGGAGTGAGAACGAAAGGGGTCATTTACAAGTTCATCCCGTGCCCCCACTTCGCTACTACTCTGCGAGAACCACCCCCATTATAAATACCTTGAATGATTCGACTGATAACTGATTAACTATGCGATATTACAGCTTTGGCGATATGTTATGTACAACTATGAACGCCTGATAGGAAGTTAGCTATTCTAGCAAGTTTGAGCCAAAATATCTTGGTAAGATTTTTTGTGAATTACAAAGACTGAGATTTGCAGCGCTCAACAAAAGCGTGGGAATTAGATGGCGACCTGGATTCTCACCTTTATGGAGTTCAGCTGCTGTTCCGTCTTAATGAAGACAGCTTCGGTGCTAACTAAAGTGGCAACATTGAGACGGCAACATAATTCCCATTCTCCCTATTCAATGCTGTGAGACTAAAATGGACATTTTATCTCAAGTGGTTTTGTTTCTATTTTGTTATTGAGAACTCTCTCACACATAAAGCAACGTTGAAACGGGTGTGGGTGTTCTTACATGTTAATTTCGCAAGCTTTTCAAAGACACTAATTGTTTCTATCAACGAATATTAAGCGTGTGAATGATGTCATTATAACGACAAGTAACACATGCAGAATTATTAATTTATTGTCAGTTTTTAGTTGCCGAGATATTGCTGTAAACGCAGTAGAACAAAGATCTGCCTGTACTGAACAGATCGTATAGAAAGTTTACAGGAATAAACATCATTGTACTGAAAAGGTACGTTTTATACTTTGTATATACTGTATATCCAGGTATAGCTAATAGCTCAGACATGCTACGACAGCTCATTGTAGAACACTACCTACATTGGACAACCACATTTGAAATATCTTTTTCAGGTAGTTCAGACACGAAATACGACAGCTTATTGTAGAATACTACTTACATTGGACAACCACATTTGAAATATCTTTTTCAGGTAGTTCAGACACGAAATACGACAGCTTGTAGAATACTACCTACATTGGACAACCACATTTGAGATACCTTTTTCAGGTAGTTCATGCAGATACAAACCACGGCAGCTTATTGTAGAATACTACCTAATACTACCCACCTTTTAACTATAGTCAAGTTGAGTGCATATGGCAAGAATATAAGCTAAGAATACTGTCGTATACTTTTCTGTAGTGTATAGCAGATGGTTTGAACATCTAATTTAATGACCAATTTCTTTTAAAGTTTTTGAGAGATTTTAAAATTGGATTTGAACACAAATCTTTCAAGATCTTGAGTATATAGTATAAGTTCTAGCCAGGTGCGTGTAATTTGGATCAAATTGTTTTCTATGAAACGTTTCTATTGCATAGACCGCACTAATTTTTTCTTCTAACATCGAAGAAATCGGCCTCAATAAGCCTTGATTATAAGAGGCAATTTTACAACAAATAGGGAATAATGAGGTATAGAATCCTGGCTGCATGTTGTAAAACATTTATGTATAGGAGAAAAAGTAAACGTGTATACTCTGACCGCGTAGCTCAGTTGGCAGAGCATTGGGCTATAGAGTATTCCAAAGGTCGTAGGTTCGATTCCCACCGTGGCCGGGCATATTTTTCAAGCTCGCCCGGTGTGGATATACACTCAGAGTAACATCACAAATATTATAAAGATTGGAGTTGTGCTAACGAGGTGGACATTTCTAATTACACATATGCTAGACTTCGTTAAAACACTTTGAACTATATGCCGCTGATTTGGTCTGACACTGTAATTATAAAGTATTTATATACTGTATGTTTATATTTGTAGTTTGGATCCTAAATCTATTGCAGATGCATTTAATGACTATTTCATTAGTATTGGGTCGAGGCTAGCAGCAGAATATGTAGACGAGTCCTGTAGTAATGTTGATAATCAGCCCATAAACTATAATATTAATCAATCCTCAGATACTTTTTTTAAAGTATCTCCAATATCCGTTGATAGTGTTGCCTCGACCCTAAGAGGCCTAAAAGCATGTAAAGCAACAGGTCTTGATAAAATTCCTGCTAAAATTCTAAAATTATCTGCAAACATAATTGCACCCTCGTTGACATTCATTTTCAATCTGTCGCTTGCAACAGGCGTATATATAGATGAATGGAAGCGTGCTCGTGTTACGCCAATATTTAAATCCGGGGATAAAAGACAATGTGAGAACTATCGGCCTATTTCAATTTTACCGGTGGTGAGTAAAGCCTTTGAGAAGGAAGTTTTCCGTCAAGTATATAGATACTTGTCTGAAAGCTCTCTTCTGTCAAAGTTTCAATCTGGATTTCGTCCAAAGCATTCAACTGTAACTGCCCTCATCCAAATGTGTGATGAGTGGCTAGAAAATATGGACAATGGAAAGTTAAATGGGGTTGTGTTCATAGATATCAAAAAGGCATTTGACTCTATAAACCATCGCATTTTGTTAAATAAAATGAATGAGCAATTTGGAATTTTTGGCGTAGAATTAAAATGGTTTGAGTCATATTTAACAAATAGAGAACAGCAATGTAATGTTAATGGAGAATTATCTAGTAATAAAATTATCACCTGTGGAGTGCCCCAGGGATCTATACTGGGACCATTGCTGTTCCTATTATATATTAATGATTTGCCCGATTGTTTGAAATCAACTAATCCATGCATGTACGCGGATGATACTCAAATCTTTTCATCTTCCTACGATGTAAACAAACTTGTTGTAAATTTAAATTCAGATCTTGCCCATGTCTGTAACTGGCTTAAAGAAAATAGGCTGCAGATGCATCCATCAAAATGTAAAATGATGTTTATTGGCTCCCCGTATAATCTTAATAAGATAATGTGTGAGGAACCCGTTGTGGCTAATGCAAAACCCATATCACGAATTGCTACACAAATGTGCCTAGGAGTAAAACTAGACGAAACCCTTAATTGGGATAGTCACATTGAAATGATATGCAAAAAGGCGAGCGCTGCTATTGGCGCTATGAAACGTATAAAGCCCTTTGTTCCAATGCATACCTTAGAATCGATTTATAAAAGTCTTGTGCAGTCCTACTTTGATTATTGTTCCCCCCTTTGGGACACTTGTGGTAAGTTGCTAAGAGACAAGTTGCAAAGATTTCAGTCTCGTGCAGCAAGAGTCCTAACGGGTGGTAATTATGATACTCGCTCAGCTGATCTTCTCAACATGCTTTCTTGGGATACACTTGAAAATAGGCGGTCTGGTGCCAAGTCAGTATTAATGTATAAAATACTTAACGACCACACTGCGCCAGGTCTCCGGGGGTCATTCGTGAGAAGAGAAATAGATCAAACTAATTATCATCTTCGAAACACAGCAACTGATCTAACAATTCCTAAACCGAAACGAGAATTTCTTAAAAAAAGTTTTAAATATAGCGGCGCTATGCTCTGGAATCAACTCCCAAACGAAGCAAAATTGGCCGAGTCGCCCCATTCGTTTAAATCAATTGTTGGACAGCGACATGCTTCCTAATTATTTGTATATAGTAACGTGTACAGTATGTGTGTACTAATATTTAGTTTAAATTTTCCTTTTAATGATTTTTAAGATCTAAACACGCCCCCCCATGGAAACCAGCCTAGAGTTGATGGGGCTAGCGTGTTCTTCTTTCTGTTAATTTTAAATAAAGTATTACCTACCTACCTACCTACCTTTCATTTCGGGAAATTGAAAAAAAAAATTTTGTAATAGATCGATAGAGAAAGGTTCAAAACGCATATTGATGCTGAACGTTTTGGCTAAAGAGAATTTTAAAGTGTATTTTGAGATGATTTTCAGAGTACAAGGCGCATGCAAATGAGCAATGCTAAGCCGTGCTAAGCCGTCTTTCATTTCGGGAAATTGAAAAAAAAAAATTTGTTATAGATCGATAGAGAAAGGTTCAAAACGCATATTGATGCTGAACGTTTTGGCTAAAGAGAATTTTAAAGCGCATTTTGAGATGATTTTCTGAGTACAAGGCGCATGCAAATGAGCAATGCTAAGCCGTGCTAAGCCGTGGTAAGCCGTGGTAAGCCGTGCTAAGCCGTCTTTCATTTCGGGAAATTGAAAAAAAAAATTTTGTTATAGATCGATAGAGAAAGGTTCAAAACACATATTGATGCTGTACGTTTTGGCACAAGAGAATTTTAAAGCGTATTTTGAGATAATTTTCTGACTACAAGGCGCATGCAAATGAGCACTGCTAAGCCGTGCTACGCCGTGCTACGCCGTGCTAAGCCGTCTTTCATTTCGGGAAATTGAAAAAAAAAATTTTGTTATACATCGATAGAGAAAGGTTCAAAACGCATATTGATGCTGAACGTTTTGGCTAAAGAGAATTTTAAAGTGTATTTTCAGATGATTTTCTGAGTACAAGGCGCATGCAAATGAGCAATGCTAAGCCGTGCTAAGCCGTCTTTCATTTCGGGAAATTGAAAAAAAAAAATTTGTTATAGATCGATAGAGAAAGGTTCAAAACGCATATTGATGCTGAACGTTTTGGCTAAAGAGAATTTTAAAGCGCATTTTGAGATGATTTTCCGAGTACAAGGCGCATGCAAATGAGCAATGCTAAGCCGTGCTAAGCCGTGGTAAGCCGTGGTAAGCCGTGCTAAGCCGTCTTTCATTTCGGGAAATTGAAAAAAAAATTTTGTTATAGATCGATAGAGAAAGGTTCAAAACACATATTGATGCTGTACGTTTTGGCACAAGAGAATTTTAAAGCGTATTTTGAGATGATTTTCTGACTACAAGGCGCATGCAAATGAGCACTGCTAAGCCGTGCTACGCCGTGCTACGCCGTGCTAAGCCGTCTTTCATTTCGGGAAATTGAAAAAAAAAATTTTGTTATACATCGATAGAGAAAGGTTCAAAACGCATATTGATGCTGAACGTTTTGGCTAAAGAGAATTTTAAAGTGTATTTTCAGATGATTTTCTGAGTACAAGGCGCATGCAAATGAGCAATGCTATATAAGGCGTGCTAAGCCGTGCTAAGCCGTCTTTCATTTCGGGAAATTGAAAAAAAAAATTTTGTTATACATCGATAGAGAAAGGTTCAAAACGCATATTGATGCTGAACGTTTTGGCTAAAGAGAATTTTAAAGTGTATTTTCAGATGATTTTCTGAGTACAAGGCGCATGCAAATGAGCAATGCTAAGCCGTGCTAAGCCGTCTTTCATTTCGGGAAATTGAAAAAAAAAATTTTGTTATAGATCGATAGAGAAAGGTTCAAAACGCATATTGATGCTGAACGTTTTGGCTAAAAGAATTTTATAGCGTATTTTGAGATGATTTTCCGAGTACAAGGCGCATGCAAATGAGCAATGCTAAGCCGTGCTAAGCCGTGGTAAGCCGTGGTAAGCCGTGCTAAGCCGTCTTTCATTTCGGGAAATTGAAAAAAAAATTTTGTTATAGATCGATAGAGAAAGGTTCAAAACACATATTGATGCTGTACGTTTTGGCACAAGAGAATTTTAAAGCGTATTTTGAGATGATTTTCTGACTACAAGGCGCATGCAAATGAGCACTGCTAAGCCGTGCTAAGCCGTGCTACGCCGTGCTACGCCGTGCTAAGCCGTCTTTCATTTCGGGAAATTGAAAAAAAAAATTTTGTTATACATCGATAGAGAAAGGTTCAAAACGCATATTGATGCTGAACGTTTTGGCTAAAAAAAATTTTAAAGTGTATTTTCAGATGATTTTCTGAGTACAAGGCGCATGCAAATGAGCAATGCTATATAAGGCGTGCTAAGCCGTGCTAAGCCGTCTTTCATTTCGGGAAATTGAAAAAAAAAATTTTGTTTTAGATCGACAGAGAAACGTTCAAAACACATATTGATGCGGAACGTTTTGGCACAAGAGAATTTTAAAGCGCATTTTCAGATGATTTTCTCGTACAAGGCGCATGCAAATGAGCAATGCTAAGCCGTGCGAAGCCGTGCTAAGCCGTCTTTCATTTCGGGAAAATGAAAAAAAAAATTTTGTTATAGATCGACAGACAAAGGTTCAAAACGCATATTGATGCTGAACGTTTTGGCTAAAAGAATTTTATAGCGTATTTTGATATAAAAAAGCTTAGCCGTGCTTAGCCGTGTTTTAATATACTTTCTACTACGCTTAGCCGTTCGCCGGCTTCGTGATAGAGTCAACAAAAACTAGAAGTTACTATCGCACGGCAAGTGCCGCGTTAAATCCTTGTGAAATTAGACAAAATAGAATGATTAGCTTAATCTTTTCGAGCCAGGCTCAATATGGCAATATTTTCTTATACTTGCGAACGGATTTTGCACATAGAGGTATAAAAAGGATAAAAACTAGTCAAAATAAATAAAGGAAAAAATATTGTGAGTCTGATACAAAACATGAGTTCAACTTAATTTGAACTCAAATGCTTATCGAGACAGGCTAAACGACATACCACTAAGCCATCAGTGGACAACTTGTAATTCTGGTAAAATGAAAAACACAAGTACATTGTTGTGACCTGCTCATCTCATGAGGTGAATCTCATTTCGGGCAAAATGAAAAAAAAATTGTTATAGACCGACAGAGAAAGGTTCAAAACGGATATTGATGCAGAAA